GAGCTGGGTCGCAGTTGATGTCGCCACAGAAATTTGAGATTTCGTTCATATCGTTCCATACTCCATCAATGTCAAGACCGGTATCGGGGTCAAAGAAGCGTAGGAACTCATCAGTCCACCAGTCCTGGGTGTTGGGGTTGAACCAGTCTGGCCAGACGACTTCGCCAGCCCACTGCACGCCGCGGTAGTACGAGCCATCGGCCGCCTTGAGGAAGATGTCCTTGTCAGAACCACGAGCAAATGGCCCGTAGTCTCCCTTTCGATGAATGCCAGGATCGACCATCATGACAAACTTCTGTCCCCTGTCATGGAGGGTGCGGACAAGCTCGCGCATCTTTGGTATGGGGAAGCGATCTGAGTCGGTTGTGAAGTCCTGACGGAGATCCATGTAGTCAATATCAGACCATAAGACGTCAAGAGGAATGCCAGCTGAAGAGTAGTTGCCAACGACTTCGGCTAACTCGTTGACATCCCAATATCCGTACTTGCACTGCATGAAACCAAAGCTCCAGTAAGGGACCATGGCCGGTAGTCCGACAACCTCGGCATACTGCTTGCTCACTTCTGTTGGTGAGGGACCAGCAAGGAAGTAAAAGTCAAGTACGCCGCCGATTGTATTGTACTCGAGGTATTGACTGCCTGATTCTGTCTGGTCGATAACAATGTTCATGCCATTCGAGTTTCTTAGGAATACACCATGGCTATGACCACTATCCCGATGCTCGAGATAGATGGGATGGCTTCCGTAGAGGTTGGACTTTCTGGGCACGAAAGGAGACTCAGCATTCCAAAATGTCCTGATATAGTCATTTGTCTGGAGGCGGAAGGTGTCAGTATGCTCTCCCAGACCGTAGAGATTCGGGTTCTGAGGCAGCTGAGTTCGCAGCCTCACGTACTGAGACTCGAAAATGAGCTGTGATCCAGAGGTGTTGAATAGCACATCTCCAGAGTCTGAACGTGAGACTGCGAAAGAAAATGGGCTCGTAGTGTAGGTGAATTTCAAAGCAGCTTGACTAGGATCTCCTTGATCATTACGCGGCGAGGGCAAGACCGATTCAGGAATTTGATATACTTGGCGATCCGCATCATAGATCTTGACATGCAAACGACTATCTAGAAGAGAATTAGAATCTGAGATACATATCACGTTATATCGGCCATGGTAGCTCACCTCCCTGGTAGTCGACCTGGAGTTTCAGATTCTTGATATCATTCCCATAGACGTTGCAAGGGGAGCCAATCAATGTGAGGTCTGCCGCAAACCCGTTGGATGATCGCCTCACATGAGTCGCTGAATATCCGAGGCAGTCGTCCACAGTTGAACCGCGCACCGTGGACACGATGGTCCCGATGGCGATGGATGTCCACGCCTTTTTCATTCTGAGGAACTTGGTTGCTGGTGAGTAAGGACGTATCAGAAAAGCTATTGCGTGCCATTCTCGCCATATTTATACGCTTCATCATTCAAGCTATAATCCATTCTCCATTACCTCCTCAGAAGCAGCTTGAAAGTCGATCGTAGGTCACGGACAACCTCCGACAGGGACATGATCCCCATTCTGGGTAGCTACCTCATACGCGAGGTCGTTGGGTGTCCATGTCGACTCTCTAGCAAAGGATTTGTGCGCTAGTAGAGACATGACTGACGTATGAAGCAGGGTAGGAATTCTGACTTATGCAGCATGACATGTAGAAAAGGCCCGTTGATGGGAATTGCATGGGTTCCAGGCAGCATGGAGTGTTTCCCCGTGGGGGATCAGCCAGGGGCACAGGCAACCAAAGTGTAACCTCAGTCGGCTGTTGCGGGGTAACACGGTACATGAGAGATGCGCGGCACTTGAATGCAACCATGGGGCTCTCTATACTTGCCAAGAAAGAGGGTCATATGAAGACTGGTTATGGTGATGCCTAATTTCACGTGAAAATCCAATTACTTGGTGAAAGAGGCTCGTGATCATCTCTTAAGCGGTTGTCATGTTGTGATTCAAAGGATTAGGCAAATCTTAAGTGGGCAGACAAGTTTACATCTTTATTTCTGTGTGTCTTCAAGCACTATCCTCTCAGTGTCTCTCATCGCGGCAAAGACACAATTCCGAGCATGCCGGCCGTTGGACACGATGTGAGGTCAAGCTCAAGATTTTGGCTCCAGACGCATTGGAGAGAACCAGGGTCGCGCATTAGTGGAAGCCTTCAGAGCTACGCGGCACTATTCTCGCGCGCTTCGCTCCTGGAAAGACGCGAGGGGGGCTTCTGCCAAGACCGAAGTATGGATATTTGTGCCAATGCAGAGTTTTGTGCCTGTCATATGGGATCAGCGTTGGAAACATGTAATGAATTTCCACAGTATTGCTTACCATGGGCTTCTGTAGCAAGCTCTGTCCTCTGGAAATATTATTCTCTACGTCTTTGTTCAACTTTATTTGGTAAAGACATGTCTGTATAAACATGTTCTACAAATGGCAAAAGGGGCTTTCAGTATTCCCATCTCTAGGTCCGGGCCGTTCTAAACTTGGCGTGAATGGCGTTCCTTCCTCCACTTGACCCCCGCGGAGGCACTTTAAGCACACTTTAAGGTTGTAATTCTTATATGCGGCTCCACCAAGGTTGCACTCGGCCTCGTTCGCCAGGATCGCCATTAGCTCTGCGCCTGTAATGCCACCAAATAGTCGCTTGCAGCTTCTTCGGGAAATGGCTATAGTCTTAGCTGAGGAGCTGCGGGCGCACGTCAATTTCCAATCACTATCGCTCGTAGCAAGACTGAACCGGCGGAACATAGCCGAATAACCCACTGTTAGTTTCGGGCCGTTTTTATAGTGCCCTTGTATTGACTATCATTGCTCTTCTAGCTGCCAAGTAGAAGTCCACTTTGGAGATGATCTGAGTGAAAAGCGTTTGCTTAGTATGGCCATACCCAGTGCATTGTCATGTAGTTTCTTGAAGTGCTCACGCTTAAAGAAGCCCAGCACCAACAAATGTGGTATGAGGTTGCTAGGAGGTTTTGTGGCTCGGTCCAAGACAGCTCATCTTGGATTTCTCAGCGAGCGTGTGCACAGAGAGAAATAACCGTAGGAGGATGCTAAATTTCCTCAAATTCCAATTGAAGCTTTCGCCGTAGAATGATTTGTAAGCCCATCGATTGTTTCCAAGGTATCCTTGTCCTCTTTTACCCCTATAAGCTTTAGGCCGTGTGGTGGGCAATGCTCTCAACTCTTATCATACAACCACGTCTTACCTGTGAACTAAAGACAGCAATCATATCATTGGCATAAAAATGGTGGTTGTACTTAACGTAGCCAGTCAAAACATGCTTCAGTATCTAACCACACTGGATCTTTCGATTTGATACTCTTAAGACAACAAAGCATCACCCTCAAACAAGCGCCATCACACATTCCTGCCAAAAGGCTTGACACATCTACAGCTACAACGGTTTGCGTTCAAATTGAAACAATCTATGATCTTCTTCACTATCATTCTGGGACCAGAAACGCTAGTTTGGAAGATCATTTCGACGAGAAGGTCGAAGCTCAAAGGAGCTCCAAGATAACTATAGACTCTACAGTTTACTTTGGAGTAGAACGGTAGAACAATCGGCCCCGTCATGTACTGCCAATTGTGGGCCTAGGGACATAAAGATTCGCGAGACTAATAAATATCAAGATAATCACTTGACTACGAGGAGATAGTATCATGCCAGGGTTCTATTCTCTAACCATTTTCAGCGCAGCTCCATGCTACCTCCTACTTTCATAGTAGCAAGTGGAATGCTTCGCAGCCCCCCCAATCACCCTAGGGGCAGATTTAATAACGGCATTGAGCGGTGAGGTTCATTTAACTGAGTCTGTTGGCCGTAGTAAAGTAAGAAGACAAAGCCCCGGACGGAAACTCATGAAAATAAAGCTGCATTACCAAGTAAATGGGCCTGGTTCAAATGGGCTTATGCGAAAAATTACTTGTGATGATTAATCCAATTGTGTGTGTATCTTCACAGGTCGCCTGCCTTGGTTATCCTCATAGACTTTGGTCTAGTAAATTAGGACATGGACGAGTCTTACAATAGGCCACCGGAAATAACTCGTATAACAATGGTACTGGTTGATTGTACTGCGATGAATGCGCCGACAGGATTGAACAGGGTGACACTAGACAAATATTGTTTCTGCAAAGGCTTACGAAAATGAAGATTTAAATGTGTTTCTACCAACAGCTCAGGATAAGAAGCTTCACAAACATATCATCTGATACATTGTAATGGAAAGAATGCAGCCAACATATTTCAAGTTTAACTAGATACGTATGCTATTGACTAAAATTCACTAAAATTCACTAAAGACACTTATTTCGAAATTTAATGCTGTGCGCTGCCCATCTTTTATTACATCTCTTTAATTGAAACCAACCAATTTATAATTCATGATTCTCATAGAGAAGGACGAATTCATGTCTTCACTCTGCTTTGCCTATTCACACTATAGGATAGGCGTATTAAGGACTACTGTAACAAATGGCCATAACGTCTAAACAGATACCCTCTTTAGCGACGGACGAAATACACGGCGCTTTCTCATAATGCTTGGCCGAATTCCTATGAGAATTTTGCAAGCCCAGGGCTAGTCCCTAGTTGGTCGGTAAAGACTTGCAAATGCTTGACGTTTTACGTATTTCGTCTTATGTGTTTTAAGTTTCTTTAAGTTTGTCCATTATTGGAAAGCTCTCTTGGCAATGCTGCTAATACCAGTACCAAGAACTCCACTCGTTAAGAAGCACGGGTCTCCTCTCCGCTGCCTCCGCGACGAAAGACGAAGGTCAAATACAACATGAGCTCAAGTGGATTAGTTTAGCCCATACCGTTTGGCGGCTTGAGTCATACTTTGGCTTTCTTATAGGGAGTTGATCGTAATACCGGGGGACGATCTCGCGCTTGGGCTACATGGCAACTTTTACCTAAAACAACCTACAAGCAGCTTTCACTGGCTACTTCTCAGTCGGCACTTCTCAACATGTATAAACCAGCTCCGCCACGGCCAAAAAAAACCAACATTTGTCGCTCTCGTACTGGATGCAAAACGTGCAGGCAAAGACGGAAAAAGGTGTGCTGAGTAATTGATTGTAATTAAAGGCGTTAAGACTCAATGTCGCGGCTGACAGCCTAACAGTGCGATGAGCGGAAACCTTGCGGCCTCTGCATGAGACTCGGGGTAGCCTGTGAACAAATCTCTCAGACATTTGAGTTTCGCAGCGTGTTAATCCCGTCAAGATCACTCAAGGCTGGACTGCGGTCATTCACGTCACCGTGTGTGTCAAATCCGCCGTCAAACACGACTGTTGCTGTTACAAGGCCTTCGCCAAAGCATTCGGAACGCTCGCCTACTGGAATAGACGCCGGCCTTGACATCATTTTCGACCCGGACAATGTGCTGAATGCAAATATAATCCCACTCTCGGACCCCGGCTTATCTTGTGCTCCCGAGATTCAGAAAAGAGTCTGGGAAGTGCATTGTGATTCCGAGCTTTTCGACGAGCCGTTGGACTCGGGAATCACCGAGGGGACGTCTATCAACTTGGCTCCATTATCTACGCCACAGCAGAAAACCAGTGATGTCGTGGAATTCTACATGAGTATTTGGAGGCTTCATTGTTTACCAGCTTTAAATACGGCGTTCAAATCTATGGATACTATTCGCGGCCAATCGTCGCTCATTACGGATACCATGGCCACCCTTGCAGCCAGTCGCATGAGTCGGAAACTTCCACAGAGGCGATTATTTATCACATCTGACTCACCAGAGTTCTGCTTCCGACCAGATTCTGGCCATGAAGCTTTCAGCAGCGAGCTCTACGGATCTGCCTTGCGCAGAATGTCTTGCTGGAGGTCTGAAAACTTCGCTTCAAACCCAATGCTGGCCTTTGCCACGCTTGTCCTTTTCTGCTACGTGGAATCTTCAATGGGATACTTTAAAGGATTCTACGTACATTCGCACGGGATAGAAGAACTCCTAAGAAAGTCCGCTGATCGTATCTTTCCCCACGGCGCTGGCCTGCTTGCGGCTTGGGTGGAAATCAAGATGCAAAATTGGTGGCGCAGGGCGTATTTTGGGGTTCCCGAGTTCTTTCAGGACTACCCCACTCCGTTACTTTGTCCAGAATTGCAATTTGTTTCGAATACTGGAAGCGGTCGTACGGCTACTATCCTTTGGATCCTTTGCGAATCGCATCGTCTCAATACCGCCGCTCTTATTGCATGCTGGGCAAGACCAGGAAAAAGTCGTCAAATGAGAGAAAAGACAGTTTCAACATTTGTAGACAATGCTGCTCCAACATCCGAACAGCCATCTATCTCTAGTGAGATTATGGCCAGAATTAAGAGGTACTCCCAGAAGCTGGATGAGTGGCGCGCGTACGTCCCAAGTTTGATAGAGATTGAGGCAAATCTCAATCGTCCGAAACTTTTCGACTTAAAAGCCCCCGAAGATGAAGCCTTATATTTTCCATCTCATCAATCAGCCATGAACATGGCTTACTACGTTGTGGCCCGCGTCATGCATTGCGCAGGACCGCTACAGACCTTTGCCAGTGCGTCTGTGCATAATATTGATGATGAGTATGAAGAAATCGAGGCTTGGATCTTCGTCTTGCTGCGCATTGCCGCTGGAATCAGCTGGGAGGACTGCGTCTGTCTCAATGCCTACACCATCGGGTTTGCTGGGCTATTATTGACATGTGCCCTCTCTTCTCGAAGCCTTAAAACTGGACTTTGGATCCAGGAGTGGTTGGAAACGCGTCTGGGTCGGGACGGGATTGAAGAGGGAAACTTTCCTGTCTTTCAAATTCTAGATGCGGTGCGACTTGTCAACCGCGAACGCAGAAATGGCCTAGACGTTGTCGCACTGTTTCAAACGGTGGATGATGGGGGTGGTAAGGGTAAGTTTGGCTCCTATTCCAGTCAGTTGATCTCGTCAATGTTGGTTTACGGCCGGTGTAGAAGTACGGGAGAGCTGGCTTCATACCATGTCTCCACGGAGGGTTTGGTTGCGCCTAGATAAGAAAAAAAAATGGATTTACTTTTGTAAGCGGTATGAGGAATAGGATACACCATAGTCACGGTGTATCATTGATAAGCAGCAATTGATTTGCGTAATTCTGTCAGCCAGTGTCATATCGACTTCTTTTCTTAACGCATCACGAATGATGTTAGTGGCCGGTCCGTTCTTTGTCTGAGAATCTGCCGTAGTGGCCATCTTACCTTGGCGCCCATTACCTGTCGCAAATTCTACAGCTCGCTACGTCATAGACGCCTTACCGGTTTGTAGTCGTACAATCATGACTCACACTTGCTTTCTAAAACTTCTTGAATTTCGGATGGAACTTGCCATTTGTAGTGCTCGGGAACGCATTGTCGGGAATCATTCATGTCGGACAGTATCCTAGATTGTCGCGCATAATTTCGAGCCTTGCCGCATTTGGTGCACGGGAGCGCCCAAGTGGGCAAGTTACAAGTCTTAACCCAAATTTTGAATACTATGTAGAAGGATGACATTCCAGCTTTCCCTCTTTCAGAGTACGAGAGAACGCCCGTATGCGTTTACCCCTTTTGTAAGAACTAAGTTATTCCCCAACTTACATGAATAAGTGCTTGCAGTGCAGATGCTACCAGTATATAAAACACCGCTAGATATCATGTCTGAGGAGCGGATGTGCTTTATTAAAGGATTGCCCCTTGACTTCGGCTTTAAGCGAAATCAGCGTGTTGTCAAAAGTGCACTCTAATTCACTACACTCCAAGATAATCGCAATGTCTCTCCAAAAAGTCGGCGTATTCACTGACGATGCGCCCACGCTTCGCCCAGGCGTTTATACGCCAGCTATCATCGCCAATGGCTTTGTTTTTACATCGGGCGTGCTAGGTGCTGATCCCATTACGAAGAAAATGGTTCACGGCACAGTCATTGATCGATTTGTACGTCATGTTGATTTGTCTAGTAATTTTCCCTAGCTCATTGGACTGCGCAGCATCAGATTATGAGAAACGTCGATGCTATCCTCAAGCAAGCTGGCTCTAGCTTGGAGAACGTAGTTGAGGTCACGGTGTTTTTGACAAACATAATCGACGCCGATGACCTGTCTCTCGCTTACAGAACTTACTGGGGAGACCTCAAACCTGCGCGAACGTAAGTTTCGAAATAACTTTTGATGTTACATATTCTGAAAACATTGGTGTTTAGCTGCGTTGCTGTGAAGGAGCTGCCCTATGGCTCGGATATTGAGCTCAAGTGCATTGCGGTAGTTACGGCCAGCTGACTGATTTCTGGTTGCGCTGCGAGCATTGCTGATCCATCTTTCTGAAAGACATTAATGATGTATCTAGCTAGATGATTGCAGATAGTATATATCACAATACGTTTTATTATTGCTATGTGAAGAATCTAGATTTTAGTTGGCTACTGGCATTCTCCACGCGTTTGCCCTTTCCCAAACATCTATGACTTGCTCATTATGTTCCGATGAATCTACTACATAATACCAACCGTATAAGGCTCCCGTAATACACGCATGATTTGGATAGATGCGCACAGTTTGGCCCACCTGCAGCGGTATGGGTTGCTGAGAAGCTCCATCGCCATGCCCATTGATGAGCCCCCATGACACAATGGAGTGTTCCTGGCTCACGCGCTTCACAATCAGTCGGCGATCGGGATTGGCGGTATTAGGGGAGTAAGCTTCGCGATCAACGATGCCCCATCCCTCATATGCTGCACAAGGCTCACGTCCCAGGCCCAACACTCCAACAGCAAGCAAGGCTTCAGGTTGCTGCCGCTCACCGTCGTTGTAGACGCTGCAAACCTCTGCCATGACAGAGACGGCTATCTCATCTTCATACTCTCCAAAGTGAGCTCGTGACTTTGTAGACAGCTGCTGCACGTCCAGGACGGAATATACACCAGCGTGGAGTTCGAGTCTGGTGCGAAACCCGCAGTGCCTCCCAGTCACAACGTTGTGCAAGGCCTGTTTCAAAGACTTGGCGCCCTCTGATAATCTGCCCTCAGCCCCGACCAAATTCTCTATTGAAGTCACTTGTGGCGAAGCTCCAATACTGATAGTAATTTCCCTATTGGTTGAGAACAAATGTGTGTTTTCTTCCAGCGCATCAAGGCACCCGTTGAGCTCGCCTTTGAGATTGGCCATTGCTTGCTCAGCGGTCGAATCATTGTAGCTGAGACTACTGTGTGAATAGAGGCCAATAAAATTTATAATGCCCTGGTTATCAAGGTTCATCAGTTTGGAGACCAAGTCGTCCTTGTTGAGGCCCGAAGGAGGCAAGCCCGCTCGGTGGTAGCCTGTATCGACCTTTAGGTAGACCCCGGCCGGAAAAGAGGCTTGCTCTGCAAAGCGAGCTACATGGCTCAGCTGGGATGTGTGATCGATCATGACAGAAATGGTGCCTCTACCCAACTGCCGGGCAATAGCTGCGAGGCGATCAACCTGCGAAGGTGGCAGGGGAATGCCGTAAAGGACATTGATTGGGCGGCCACTTTCTATGAATTCGTGCACCAGTGGCCGTAGAAACTCGATTTCGGCAACAGTCGACGCTACAAGTCGAACTTCTTTTTTAGCTTCTCCAGCTTGCAGACGGACCCCTTCTAAAGTCTGTAGGTCTAGAGTCAGTGTTGGGAGCCGGGGGTATTGGAAAGGGATTTTGTGTACCTTGTGTGTCTTAATATGTGCCCGAAAGTCTACACCCAAATGTTCTACGGCATCAAGGAGAGACTGGCAGTGTCGATACATTTTGGCCGTGTCGAGTATCAAGGCCGGTTTCGGTAGCTGAGTGATATTTTTTCCGACATAGTGTTCTCGAAAATCACCGGCTGTCTGCAACACTCGATGTGCTTGTTCCATCATGAGATGCGATAAATTTGCTGTTGGATACGCTTGATTATACTTGTGCTGTTGTGTGTGCTGTCGCTCGCTTCTTATACACCACCCTAATACAGGTATGCCTCTGCCGCTATCTACACGAGATGTGGGTTGCAAAGCCATTAACCGGAAAGAGTGTGCGGGTGCGACGTTTTGGGGACTAGGTTGGAATAATACGCCTATTCCCAATGAAGTGTGCGGCTGCGATCAGTGGAGCGGCGTCATCCCCGTGCTAAGAAGAGATATAAGCCACAGACGCTATACTTGGTGCTTGGAGATCCATGCTTTTCGGGGCGAGCACAGGTCTTATAACTGTAGTCAATCTGCTCCTTCAAATCATGTAGCCGACAGATTCTCAATTTTATCCATATTCTCTCAAAGTTCGGCATATTTCACAAACTGTTTATCATCATGACAACCCCATCGTCCAACTGGCGACCAAAAGCCATTATATTCGACCTCCTTACCGCCTTGCTGGATTCTTGGGCTCTGTGGGACGCGTCTATCACTTCCACGGGCGCAGAAGAAGCTCAAATCTGGCGCAAACGGTACTTGGAACTGACCTTTGGTACCGGCGCCTACGTCCCGTATGAGCAGCTCGTCCACAAAGCCGCACAGGATGTCGGCTTGGCTGAGTCGGCTCCTCGAACGTTACTGGAAAATTGGGGCAAACTGCAACCATGGCCTGAAGTTGTGCAAGTCTTGGAGCAATTGAGACTTCAGGGTTATAGACTCGGCGTGGTCACCAATTGTTCGCAACGTCTAGGAACTATTGCGGCAGGCATAGCTGGGAATTTCGATGCAGTAGTCACTGCAGAGGAGAGTGGCTTTTATAAGCCTTCCAAACAAGCTTATCAGGCTATCCTAACAGCTATGGGAGTTCAGGCCCAAGACGTATTGTTTGTTGCAGGCAGTCCAGGAGATGTTGAAGGCGCAACAAATGCTAGCATGAAAGTGGTATGGCATAACAAGATTGGACTACCTCGAAAGGGTCAATCAGTTCCACTTCGGGAGGCTACGAGCCTAGATGATGCTTTGCTAGGCTTTATGTGAATATCTCTTGCTATTTCTGCTAGAAATGCAGTTTTTAGCTAAAAAAAACAAGACAAATTCTGCTCTGTACGTCAACGGAGTAACTCCACTAGCTATTAGTAGGTAATTTAGACAATTCAAATGGCTGGATGCTACGTTCTAATTCAAATGTTACTCAGCGGAGGATTGAATAACAAACCCGATGCTTGGCATTCAACGTCATAATGATTAGAGTATCACGGACGGAACTATCACTTGGGATGAAGTTGTAAAACACACCTATGCTAATACTCCATTCTTAATCGGCAAATAAATCTTGATTAGCTCCAGCGCGCTCTACCCTGCACGCGCCTTAACAACTTCTAGATTCAGGCTGTAACATTGCCATATAATGCAATCATACTTCAATTCCAGGTAAAGTTCCTTACATATATTTCCAAGTAGTCTTCTGATAGAAGACTGAGTATGCTCTCGGGGAGATGAATCCCGGCAGACCTAAACAACACGTGCATCAGGGCGGACCAACGCTGCATCCACGCCGTCCCATTGCTGGCCAAAGCAAAATATACTGTCATTTGGTCCAAAACACATTATGTGAGCGGCCCATGGACCAATATAGTCGTAAAGAAGTGGCTCAAGAGTGAGATCTCGAACAATCAGAATGAAGGTATCCACAGCCATGGCACTATGGAGTGGTTCAAATCCGCATTTCGAGGTGAGTTACCCTTGCCCCTACTAACGGATTTTGGCCGCCTTCCTCCGTGGGGAATGAATCTCCAAACCCCGTGATGCGCCTTACCAACAACTTGTTCAAGTCAGGATGGGCGACTAGTTCGTATACAACATCTACTAAAGTAGACTGCACTGGATTGCTCGATGCATACAGAGCAGCCTGGGCTAGTGTACTCTTGATTATAGCTTGCAATGCTAGCTCTCGCACCGTGCTGTAGGTGTTTAGAAGCCCATCAGCCCTTTTCCCTGTCAATCGTCTTTGAGCAACAGCAACTAGCTTCCACGCCAAATTCGCAGCATCTTGAATTCCTGTAGGGGTTCCTTGCTACCGGCCGGGGAAAAGTGATGACCGGCATCGCCGGCGATAAAGACACGCCCGCTGCGGAAGTTTGTCGCGAGACGAGTGGTGTTCGAAAAACGAGAGAGCCACAGAGGAGAGTGTATTCCAAAATCTGTTCCAAGAGCCTCAGTTGCGAAAGATTTGACGTTTTGCTAGAGTTGGAATTGCACTAGGCGCTAAATCTACGGGGCCTATGTTCACTCCGGTGAGCCGGTAGTACTTTCGATATCCAAGAGGCTGCATCAAAAATGACCTATATCCGTTATTGGCCGATAGCGGTTGGGAGGGAGCGTCGGTGGTTAGTACATTTGCTAGCCAACCGGAGATATTGCCACCAGTACCAGCGAACTCGAAGTCCGCCAACTTACTGATCTCACTCTTTGTTCCATCACACACAACGAGCCAAGATGCTGTGAATGTGGACTCGGTGCCATCTCCGGTCTCATTTCGACGGTGACGGTCTCGCTATCTTGGACAAGACCAATCGCGAGGTGACCGAAGACGAATTTGACTCTTCTTTCTTTGCAAAGCTCTACTAGGAGCTGTTCCGTCACGGCCTGCGGATTCATCAAAGAATGAGGATGCGTGGTACCCAAAGATTCTCTTGACATTTGTAGCCGACTCTCTGATGAGCCATAATGGATTGAGTAAATAGATGTTCCGGCGTCAATGAAGCGCTGAGCTATTCCACGAGTCGCGAACGTTTCAAGATTACTAGCTGCTATTGCAGCTGCTCGCGAACGAATGTCTCAGATGATGTTTCTTTTCGATTACGGCGACTTCAAGCCCAGCACTGTGAAGCTCCAATGCGAGCCAAAGGCCCGTTGGGCCAACTCCAACAATAACAATCTCAGGCATCGCAGCGAGTAAATCTTGGTGATTAAAATGAGTCTGTTTAACGAAGCTAAAGTGAAACTAGGCGATATAATAGTGCTTGTTACCCTTCTCAAGTATTCATGAAATCATTGACCTTTTATGTTAGGAAGGATCTAATACTCATCGTAGTGACACTGTCGTTGACACAACACGTAAGAGCCGAAACCCATGTCCTGTTAGACGGCTCGACCACAAGATCCATTGTTTCGTAAGTCCGACTCCTTTAAAATCCATTATCTCGGCCGGCCGTATTGCTTGTTCTCGGAGTGAGAAAGGGTTTGCACATTCAGTTGCCAGCGGATGGGCCTCTCGGGCCTCTCGGGCCTCTCGTCGTAGTGTTGTCCTAGGCCTGCCTCAACCTCTCTCTACCCCGCAACGCTAACATTCGCCTCTACCAATACCTCTGCTGGATGGTTTCGTTCTTCAGTTCTATTATTATTAATCTTTTGCAAACTTGCGAATAATGAACGGCAGAAGCCATCCCCGTCTCAATTTGTCAAGGCAAAATACACGACAGCCGCGAATCCTCATCTTGGCCAGATACTTCGATTGTGGAAGATATACATACAAAACATCGAGCGCCTCATCAGGTTTCTTCCTAAACCTACTATTGAACAGAGCATAACTGATTTATTACTAAGGGAGGGCCGTATTTGCCCCGAGACGCGCGCCTTACTGCTAGCAATTTGCTACTGTGCAGCATCTTCCCTTGCGCTGTCTCAAGCTAGAGCCGGATTTGCCTTCGACGTTCAAAGCTATACTGCCTCTTTCAGAACAGCGGTTGAGAAGGCCCTGTGTTTAATCTATCTTCACTTGAAACGGAAATGAGATGCCGCATTTGGTGGCATTTATGCTTGCTGGACTGGCGTACTTTGGAAGACATAGGCCTAGAGGCTACTGTACGCCCTTAAGCTTCAATACAAGAATGCTGCTGAATATCAATGATGATGACATGGAAATAGCTTTCTAAGTACTCCATGAGCGTCGTGACTACACTGAAATGGCGTTCTCTATGGTCCGATACGAAGCATGGAAGCTGGCTGCTTCGTGCGGCAACAACGTTATCCATCCCTGCGGGAAACCAGAGGGCGTTAAAGAGACAGAAGCAGCATAAGAAAAGCTAGTAGATGACTTAGATGATACATACTTACGCTTCTGCCGGACGATATCCACACCGATAAGCCGGCTGCTGTTGACGATAGCGCAACTAGTCGTCGCGAAGCTGCGCCTTCTTATGTCGTATTCAGCCTGCTACAGTGGCGCCGAGAAAGATATGCTTTTAACCCCTGGAGAGAAAGATTTGTTATTCAAATCATGTGTTAGCCTACTCGAATTCGAGCAAGCGCTTGGGGCTGACTGTGAACTGGACTGTTGGCGTTGGTTCTTCTTTGACACTCATATTCGGTGGCATGCGATGTCTTTTGCTCTTTCCGGGCTGTGCGTGCGCGTGAAGGGAGTAGTAGAAGACGCGACTTGGAATATCATTGATCGGGTCTTTAAGTCTACCGTTCAACAGATGGATAGGATTGATGATGACATTTAGAAACCACTGTATGGCTTGAGACAGAAGGCTTTGTGTGCTCGATATTACCGCGGCTCGGAGCTTCCAATATCATCTCCACCTGAACTCGACGAGGCACTATTCGACGAGTTCTCTATAGATTGACCGTGATGACCTCTCCTAGTTGCGGCTCACCGCGCCTTGAAGACGACATATACCAAATATTGTGTAATTTACTTTTAACAAACCTGAGCTTTAAAGCTGCAATAAATTGACCAAGTCAAAAGTGAAGGTAACTGCACATAGCATATACTATACTATAGAAACAAACTTTCAGCAGGGGCACAGAAGAAAAAAAACATTAGGCTATATAGTCTGTCTCAAGTGAACGGAAATTGGAGTAGCTTGACTTGCTTTTGCCTTAAAACGAGACAGCCTCAGCGCTCTGGCTTTGAAGATACTGTATGCTGAATGGGTAATCAACATAACCCAATGCATCCTTAATTGTATAGAACGACTCGCGTTTGTACTCGTCAAACTGCAACTTTTCCTTGATCCTGTATACCAGATCTGGGTTTGCAATAAAGTGTCTCCCATACATGACAACAATATCCTTGGAAAGATATTTATTAACAAGCTGCCTCGCATCGTGCAATTTATACCCGCCAGCTACCAGCAGCGGTCTGTTCCAGAGATTGTAAGCAAAATCCAATGTTTCGCTGCCTTCGCTGTCGCTACTGCCAGATATGCGCGATTCCACAAGGTGGAGATAAGCAAGATCAAGTTTGCTGGCTCTGTTGATTATGTCTGAGAATTGCGGAATTGGGTTTGTCATTTTCATTCCTTGAAATGAGCTCCAGGGACTAAGGCGAAGACCAACTCGTTCCGATCCTATAGCCGCGACGACAGCTTTCATGATTTGGTCTATGAATCGAGATCTATTCTCGATACTCCCACCATACTCATCATGACGCTGGTTGCTATTATCCTGGATGAATTGATCAATCAGGTAGCCGTTTGCACCATGAACCTCTACGCCGTCGAAACCGGCAAGTATCGCATTTTGTGCGGCTGTTGTAAAATCTTGGACAGTCTTCTTAATCTCATCGAGTGTCATGGAGCGTGGTACTGGCGCGTTTTCACCTATTGGGATAGGACTAGGGCCTATAATCTCAACTCCGTCCTTTTTGGACAACTCCTCATCTGCAGCACGCCCCATGCCAAAGATCTGGCAGAAGATGAAGCATCCTTTGGCATGGACATTATCGGTGACTGACCGCCAGCCTGCAATCTGTTCTTTGTTCCATATGCCAGGTGCATTGGCAAATCCACCAGAAGATTCGTACGAGATTAAAGTACCCTCGCTGATCAGTAAGGTGCCTGGCACAGCAGAGCGCTGGCCGTAGTACTCGGCCATAAGTGGCAGAGGTACACGATCATCTGTAGCACGGAGGCGAGTCATCGGGGCCATGCCTATGCGATGCTTAACGACCACATTGCCGATTTTCAGTGGTTTGAAAAGTTGAGAGTTATTCATTATTGAGAAGAATAGTTGGAGAGGCTTGTTGAGCTGTGGTGTATTTTGGAAGTACAAACTTTTTGAATGGGCAGCATCTGCCATTTTATAGTTCCCGTTTCTGGAAAATCAGGACATCGGAGTTAGACAACTGCATATTACTCGATATTCTATCTTGATGAGCTTCAATTTTAATGAGTAACTTGACGTATTTCCGAATGCAAGATGGAGATGCACATCAACGTACTTCCCAATCAGGCAATAACGTTTGTCCCAAAAAGTATAGTGGGGCTGGTGCCACGCTTGAAGAAACTATGTGATTTCTAAGCCACGCACCTGGTATGTCTTTTCCAATCTCCAGTCCTAAATCCATCCAGCAAGTCTGCACAGACTGTTGCGGAAGCCAGAGAAGCAGAGCGCAGTTCATGCGTCTTACTACTGTTCCTTTTACGACCTAAACCAGAACGTGGTCCCCATGATTGGTGGCTGTCGCACATCATGGTTGCTCAGCCGCTCAACCCAGATGGTAGGCAATGCAAATCCAATTCTTCTCGCATAAACCAAGCACTAAATATTATCAGCCAATGAATTTAAATTCGTTCCAATTAAAGGCCCCTGTAACAAACAGGACCGTGTCGCGAATCGCTCCGCCAAGTCACATGCCGTTAAGCATGCCCTCAAGGCGAAGCGGTTACTCGAACAAGAGTCAAAATGCAACTTTCGAGTGACACTTTTGAAGAAAGAGCGTACTACGCTGATTAATAAGTCACGTTTTGCGAAGCCTCCAGCATTGGTATCGTCTTTATCTCTAAGCGTGATTGATCCGTTTGGTACGCTTCCTGTGGACAACTCGCGGCTACAAATGCTACTGGATGATAGTAAGAGACTATGCACCACAAGGGACGCGGGTTTGTTTTTTTGACCTTGAACGACACAGGTAGAGCTAGGAAGGCCTCTGAACCAGTTTTTAGTATTACAGAGGACCTCGCATTCCAAAATTTCCACACGGTCTTCCGTACGGGCTTAACTGACCCTGCCCTTGCGAATGCCGTTATGCTGTCGCTATTGTTTGCAGTAACGGAGGGAAACTTGGATACCGAATGCCTCAAATACAAGGTTTGTGCTATCGCTTATATTCGGGACAAAGTGGCCTACGCCAAAGAGGCCGCGTCAGAGTCCACAATTGGAGCCATTCTCCTACTAGTGGGTGTAGAGGTAGGCATCTATCCCGAATTGGGTTTGCAGTAATACTAAATGCTCTTTCCCAAGGCTCAACTGGGAATGACCTCTCAAGTACAACTCCATATGGAAGCAGTGAGACAGCTACTTGAAATTTCTCGCAGCCAAGGAGTCTACCTCACGGCTGGTATTAAGCGTGCAATATTCTGGTGAATCGCATATAATGGAAAGAAAAGGATCAATGTCTAACAATAGCATAGGCAGGATTTGAATGCGTCAATTCTGTCTGGTTCAGATCGAATTGTTGACCACACTACCTTCTCAGAACTACTCTGGCAACGAGACTCATTTACGCCCAGTTTCTACCAGCTTCCTTCGGGATTTCAGCAAATATCACATTTGCTAAGTGACGCTTTCATAGAAGTCCTTGAAGATCTGCATGCATTGCAATGTATACGGAACTGGTCGAGTTATAAAAAGGGCGATCCTTTTATCATGGCTTATATAAACAACCATACAGCCTCTATTCAGTCAAGGATTGGGAATTTGGTAAAAACTTCTCCCATGCTCAAATGCTGTTATATCGCAGCATATATATGTTCTATTATGTTATGTTGTCACGTTTGGTGCACTCTATCCATTCCAGTAAGTTACTTTCTGTTTCCGCCTCATGAATAAACTGTACTGATGAGTTAATTGAAGTCTTACTTATCTTCACAGCTCCTTGATGAACTTCAAAGGGCTGAACAAGATGCCATATGGAACGAAAATCCCGACATGCTGCTTTGGCTCCAGTATATTGGCGGCACATTCGCTTCTCCTGGACCTATTCGATCCATGTATATTGAGCTTCTGCGGAGGAATCTAGCCACAAGATTTTCCATAGGCTGTGATGCCCGTTCAAAGATACTAGAGATTATGAGAAACTTCATTTGGTCGGACCTAGCTTTCATTTCGGAGGCATCCATGTTTTGGGAGGAGGTGGCCTATTGAAAGTGAAGCCATTTTCTTTTCCTTTTTGTAATATATTCTGTGTATAAGCAGTCTAGTATCTTACTAAGATAGCTTTTTGTTGCAGGTATACTTAAAAGAAATGCACTGACTGTAATTCTATAACGAATGTATGTAAAGTCGCACTTAGGTAGACTAAATATACATAAAACCAGGATTTTTTTATGATAACGTTAAGACTCTTTTCGTACAAACTTTTGGCACCATGCTTTACACTTCCACTTCTCAATCATCCCTCTATTTTCTTGGTCAGCAATATACTTGTTCATAGTGTCAGCCCAGCCATCAGCCCAAATTTCTTGAGTAAAAATAATACTATTCGCCACGCAAACGCTCTAAAACATATACAGTCCGCCAAGAAGCCCCGACTGTATAAGTTTGGAAGAACTTCACTTCCATCTAACAGTCTCCTTTGACCACGCTTGACATTTGGTAGGCGTGGAAATGAAAAGGAGACAGTGCCGAGAGCAGCCGCGCTCTTATAAGCCAACACATGACAGAATTTGCTTTCAAAACTGGCCATGGCTGGTGTTGTACCGAAAATAAGTAGCTATCACTATCTGAAGCAATTGGAGTACTGGTAGAAGACTCTTTTCTGATATCTCCATCCTCATGAAACACTTCTAGTTTTCTAATCTCATCCAGCCGTATATTTAGAATGACAAGGTCATTTACTAGGCGATTTATAGTACCTTGGACGGTGAATTGTAAAGGATGCCGTGGTATTAGAACCAGATCAGTTGTTTCCTTGAAGAGAGCTGGCAAATTTACAATATGTGACCAGACGTCAAGCACTCAGTCAGCCAAGCCTGGAGATGGCAGCGAATATTGGGCGGTCGATGTATTCATAGTCTTCAGCCATTTGTCTTCCATTAAGATGCACGTAGTATTATCCAGTAAAGCCTCGTCAAACTTGGTAAGAGTAAGTGGAAATGCATGCCAGCTTATGGGTCTCGCCCAGTGTGAAGCGCCAAGGACTTGACTTACCAGTGGTCCGGTGTAAGCCATCAATAATGCTCTCTCAAAGTCTGTCGTGAAATTCTCTGGCCCTCGTAATTGGATCAATCTGGACACATCGGCACCGTGATATTGAAAGGGAAAGATTTATGGTCTTCCATTCAAGAGCTGTTGAGAAGCAAACAAGTAACCCCAGGAATTAGAACTGTTGTCTGACGTCCGACTGAGCTGGCAAGCTTCTGTCAGACTGCTCACCGCGGGCCCAACATGCGACTTTGTTACATTTGCATAAACAAACCGGGTGGATGTGCGTGTTATTTTACGAATTTCGTATTATTAAGAAGACATATGAATCCTTGACTGGACAAACCGGATGACAAATGAATCATTGGCCCCGTAGCCCCAGTAGATGGCTGTTTGAGCTGTATGTGATCCATTCTCTCATAGCCTTTGCACAACTGTCTAAAAGCAGCCAAGGTTGAAGGAAAGCTTACCATCGAGTAAAATTTCTCATTTTGCCCACTTGCTTGTTCCTTTCTGCCCCTTCTTTTTATTCTTAATATGGGTCGATCTTATTAGGAAATAAGTTGTATTGAGAAGAAATCGTATCTCTGTCCAATAAACGGCAGAATAAGCCGATTTTAACTCTGGTGTTAGCGCTCAACTAAACGGCAATAGGCAGAGTCTCCCTAGTTAGTCAGCATATCATAATTCAAGCCACCAAGGTATCTCGTTTACCATAGCTTGGGCGCGGCAACATTGTTGCAGAAAACAAGAAAAAAGTGCCAGCAGAAAATGTCCAATCGAGAATCAAGAGAATACCCCAATAATCGTCGTCCCAAAGCGATTCGAGTTCATTGTCTTATCTGGCGATGACACGGGCAGAGATCCAGAGACCCGAAGACGAGTCCGCAGCGTCGCTCAAGCCAATTATCGCCGTCAGCATCCCTATGAGCGGCGCCAGACAACCGTGGAGCTCGACATAACGCCTTTACTCGATGGTTCCCTCCAAAGAGCCAATACTTCCTTCAGCCAAAGATATCCTGGACCAACAACCTTGTTGGATGCGAGTCGCTCCGATCCGTTTCAGTCTTTTGGATTGGGAGGCGATCGTCGAGCCCATCGCCTCTGGGATCACAGTTTGTCTCTCTGATCGCCTGGATAAATCTCTTCTGACCAGGGTGAATAGTGTATGATGGCAGTTGCCCTAAATTCAACACGCTAGTTCAAATCGGATTTGTTGATATCGCTCGAGAGACAATAGCGCTGTCACAAATGCTCTCTGCATCTGCGTGGCATCTCGTTCACTGGTTGTGCTGCGAGAGAGATACAGGAGAGGACGCCCGGTATGCTATGATCTCCACGCAAAACATTCAGCAGAGGTTGAACAGCGTCGCAACTGGTGCAAGTGATGAGGTTGTTATTGCCGTTCTGACATCAGCAGCGTATGCGGTAGGTTTCGAGCACCTGCTTACTCAAAGGGTGAGTATTCTGACAGGCTGTAGAATCTGATCAAAGAGCCCGGAATCTTTCAGATCCATATGGATGGCCTTGCGCGTATCCTTCACCTCAAGGGCGGTGACAGTTCAATCCAATCGCGTCCTCTGCGACTGGCTATGTTTTGGTAAGCCCCCGAACATTGATGTATCAAAGGCTGACTAACTCTTTGCAAAGGATCGAAGTCAACGGCCGCTTTCGACAAGATGCAGCGCCCCAATATTCTCCGCCCAATGATATTCTTTCTAGTCAAAGCAAGCTGAACTTGATGTTATTTGACATGACTCAACTCTCATCCGGCTGTGTCATACCTACTGTCGAGCGATGTGACATCTCCAAGTATCTTTGCCACCAGTTGAGACATCTCAATGATATAATTGCAGCGGAGACCTTGACACGGAATCTATGGATAGATCCCTTATTTCCTGTATATCACATTTCACCAGTTTTACACCATTTTCTCTGTCTTCCTCGCTCCTCAATATATGAGGAGATTCATGCTCGTCAAAGAGAATGCTTCCGCCTCGCGGGAATTCTGTACCTCGGCAATCTACGAGCCAGATTTGACTTTGAGCCTGGTGCGGGGATGTTGTACGGAACGAAATTGCTGCTCATACTTGGCTCGGAAGGAATGCTTCCCAAGTGGGAGACATCTAATAAATTTCTCATCTGGATACTCACCGTTGCTGCCTGCTCGCCAATTTTATTCGACGATCTAAGAATACAGTTCGCGGCATTGCTGTCAGGTAGCGCTCAATCTACAGGATTGACTACTTCTCAAGACTATCTGGCCGCAATAAAAGGTTTCATTTGGTGCGATTCAGCTTTTGGGGCGACATTGAAGAGTTTATCGAGCCAGATCTATGAAAAAGAATAATCGTGAATACACATTTGGTAAAACAAATCGAAGTTTAGTGCCCTATTTGGTTTCATGTCCCGTGTCGGGTGGTTGTAAATAATCGACTTGGCAGAAGGTAATAAAGTAATATATCAAGCATGCTGATGCTCTGCTAATAAAGCTACAAGATGCACGCGTGTGCAATTTAAACTGTTAATCCTCCATCTTCCCATCGCAACTCTTGTTCCATGAATTAAGAATTACAAGTTACCAGCCTGCCAGTTTCAGCATGGCATGTTGCTTGTAACTCAATCTGCTCCAAGACCTGTTGTTGTCTTACCCTATAAGCCTATATTTTGGGTCAGTTTATCTAATGCTTATTGCATTCATTGTTTATACAGTTTTTCTTCTTCACTTTTTTTATGTAGAATTATGAAGCTGCTTGGCTTGCCTATTTGAACACTTTGCTGAATGTTCTGGTATTTCTTTGTTCCAAGTGTCTTGAAACTCTCGACTCATAAGCTGGCATAACCACCTCTCTCCCCCCAGCGGTCTTATTCGCTTCGTCATAAGGCAAATATTTTTTTTTTTTTTTTTTTTTTTTTTTTTTTTTTTTTTTTTTTTTTTAGTTTCAAAATTCAGAAATCTTTTCTCTACGCGTGGTTCAAACACAAGGCCAGTTCAATACTTTTTGTATACAGAGTGAGTTAGCAGTAAACGATCGGGCGTATGCGAAAAGGTAGGTAGCGCGTCTCCACCTGGACCTAGTGTACAAGCTAAACAGATCGTTCATGCAGTGACAGGGATTCGATATGTCTTATTTCGTCCTAGTCTATCTATCGCAATGGAATCTGCCCAAGCATTGTTGCATTTAAGTTCGCGAATGTTGCAAGTGACCCGTTAACAACACGCGGTTAATAATAATTCTCACGAAATTGTGCCTAGTATAAGGACTTTGTAAGCAACGTATTATGAAAACATCAATCAATAATAGCTGATTTATCTCATAGCGCAGTTAACAACGTCACTTCTTGTAGAGGAGCCGGGTTCTACATGTTGAAAACTATATAAGATCGTCAAGGACGCGGGTAAAGAATAAACATTCCATCTCAAAAATAATACCAACACATACACGAGAAACATTCCCTTTACAACCAGTGTCAAAAATGAGTTCTACTATTCTAATTACTGGGGGCTCTGGCTTCGCTGCAGCTCACGTTATTCGGGCTTTCCTCAGCCAAGGTTATAATGTGAAGGCAACAGTTCGATCGGAAGCTAGAGGAGAGGAAGTGCTCGCCAGCCACCCTGAACACAGCGCAAAGCTTTCTTATGTGGTTATCCCAGACATTGCAGATAAAGATGCATTTAATGACGCTCTGAAGGGAGTAGATGGCGTAAGTCTTCTCCAAACTGTCACTTGGAATCCAACACTAAACGGTCCAAAGGTTATTCATGTCGCATCTCCTATGATCTTGGGAGCAACCGACTTTGAGGCACAACTGTTTAGACCCGCTGTCGATGGCACGGTTAACCTTTTAGAAGCCATCCAAAAAAGCAACGCCAATGTTAGCCGCGTGGTCATAACATCTTCAATTGCCTCAATCCTGGATCCCCTGCAAGGCCAAAGACCAGGATACGTCTACACAGAAAAGGATTGGAATCCTGTGTCAAAAGAGGCAGCTATTGAGAGTGGGAATGCTGTTCTCGCCTATCTAGCTTCCAAGACCATTGCAGAGAAGGCTGCGTTTGATTACGTTGAGAAAAACAAGGTACGTCCAATGTTGCAATAGATCACACCAGACTCAATATCTCCTACTAACACATCTTAATCAGCCCAAATTCACAGTAACTGCATTGTGTCCTCCATTCATCTACGGTCCTCTTCTGCATCATGTAGAGAGCATCAAGGAGCTAAACACTTCCTCCAACGATATCTACCGCCTCTTCAACGGATCGGAAAAAGAAGTTCCGACTACCGCCTTCTTTTCCTATGTCGACGTTCGTGATCGTAAGTCTCAAACCCAACAATGGAAACGTTCGAGACTACTGCTAATGGTTGATGCTCTGTTAAGTTGCCAAGGCCCATGTCCAAGCTTTCGAGAAGCCAGCAGCTTCAAATCAGCGCTACCTGATTGCTGCTTCGGCTTACACGTACCAACAGATTGTTGACATCATTCGAGCCAAGTTCCCGGAGCTCAGTGAAACGACTCCAAAGGGAGTAACTGGAGCACCTATTCCGCCTGCCTATATTATAGACACTACCAAAGCCAACACAGATCTCGGAGTCAAGTATAGATCTTTGGAAGATACTATTGTGGACGCAGTGAAAAGTCTTCGGAAGTTAGAGGAAGCTTGAATCTGGATCCAGTATCATGTACTTAGTCAAACCCCTGATTATACATATTGAGAATGCAAAAAGTCAAAGTATTGATTAATATAACTGAAATCCGTCTATCATACTTCAAATTATCTTTACCTGTCTTGACAATCAATTTGATGTCTCTACAAAAACCCTTCCCCTGACTTCGATAAAGAGGTTCTCACTAGGGGGAAGGCGAGAACAACAGGTAAATTCTCGTATCTTCAACCAGAATGGTACCATTCTTTCAGGTTTCGAGATCTTGTTTCAAGATTGCTAGTCCGGTAATATTGCTGCTTTCCACTAACAGTAGATTCCAATATACCAATGGAATGTAACTATTCCAGCCAAGTAGAGGCAGCCGACAACCTATTTTCTTGAATAATGCTGCAAGGGTCCAAAAGACTTCTCTTGGAGCGAAATGCTCAGCCCGTCAGATCTGTATATTTCACTCAATATCTCCAATGGTACTTCTTCGATTTCGTCGACTTTTACATATGAGAGTAAACGTAAGATTGTTTGTCCATCAAAACTGCCACAGAGTTTCAATTGTACACCACCCTTCTGGTGCTTCCCTGTAGGGTAAATAGGAAGGTAGTGATTCGAGTCGAAAGTAGCAGGTAAAGTCGGCGTAACCTGGTTAAGTTAGAAAAGCTTTGTGTATAAGCAGAAAAAACGCAAACCGTAGCAATCCTAACCCACCCAGGCGGTCGTTGTAATGCCTTTCCTAGGACAACCACCATGTGAGACCGATATAGCGATGATAAGTGTACCTGCTGAGCAGTTCCATCGCTCCATTCTAACTGAGGTTTAAAGTTGAAGACTTTTCCTCGCGGCGCACGTTTATCCCTCATCTTGTGGACACTATAATATGTCGCAGAACTCGTAAAAATTTGGTGTTTGACGCTGTGATGGCAATAGTTGCAGGTAATATACTAATGGCAAAGGGATTACTTACAGACGTAACCTACCCCGCTCTCTTCCTTTGCCATGGCATCGGCACGTGCGCTACTCATGCATCAACAGTGGCATTGTGTCATTTGCTTATTGGTATATAATGGAGGGTTTCAGTTACACAGCATAATTAGTAAGGCGCAATACGTCATTCATTAACTCACCCCCTCTCGTAACTCTTCATCTGCTATAGTATTGCAATGGAGAACTAATTCCTCTCAAATCTAACCCTCTAGTACTACTATCAGAGTGAATTTAGTTGGAATTGCCTGCAGTCATGGGAATTGACGCCGGGTTCGATATGGACCCTCCTTTGTCCAAAGGAGTTGTTGATAAACAAAACTGGGGACGCTTCTTTATCAACCTCATCAAAGAGCAGTACAAAGATGACGTCCAGGTCGAAATAATGCCGAATTACATCAACTTCAACGCAGGCGAGCATCCTAAGCTTCCCTTTGAGGGTCACAAGTTTCTGCGGTTCAGTTCGAAAGTATCCGGGGCCATCGCAAGTAACTTAGGAGTAGAACGTTATATCAACACAGTCACACGTGTTGCAAAAGCCCATTTTGGCCCGCGTGTTCAGTATTGGCATGAAGGTGCCGACCAATACGGTATTCATGACTGGAAGAAAGTCAACGACTCGATTCGGTCTTATGAGCAGGTACATTGTGTTTCTACCACGTTCTTGGTCGATGAACAGTATTTTGATACCTCATTCGCAGCCCGATGTATTCGAAACTCAAGATAGCATTAGACAACTTCTTAGTGAAACCGATCCTGTCAAGGAGCAGGACATTGCACTATTTGAGGTTCAGGATATCCCCGGCAAAGGTAGAGGGTTAGTTGCCCGGTTCAACATATCTAAAGGCACTCGAATCATTTGCGAAAAGCCACTTCTCACAGCTGGACCTATGCCGCCTAATAAGCTGGAGTCATTTCTCACGAAGGAGTTAAAGGAAATGTCAAAAACATCACAACGGCAGTTCCTTTCTCTTCACAACAACCACCGGGGCAAGAATCTATTCAGTGGCATCTTCAGGACGAATGCTCTGCCGTGTGGATCGGGGTCGCGCATTGGCGGCGTATATCCCACAGCGTGCTTCATCAACCACAGCTGTATCCCGAACGCTCACAACAACTGGAATAGCGAACAGGAGCACGAAACCATCCACGCCATTCGACCAATTGAGAGAGGAGCATAGATCACAATTCCCTATGATCGTGGAGGGGGCTCAAGGGAACGACAATTATTTTTGAAAGACGCCTTCGGCTTCAAATGCGACTGCAGTGGTTGCTCTCTCCCCCCCGACTTACTCAAAGCTAGCGATAACCGGCGTAGAGAGATCCAGAGGCTTGATGAAGCCATTGGGGATGCCTTTCGAATGATGAACAGACCACATGAGAGCCTGAGTGATTGCTATTTGATGTTTCAAATTCTAGAACAGGAGTTTGGTGGCTATGCTGGTGCGATGATTGCTAGGCTCTATTATGACGCTTTCCAGATTAGCATCGCGCATGGGGATCAAGCGCGAGCGAGTATTTTTGCAGAGAGAGCCTATGAGGCCAGGGTCATCTGTGAAGGTGAGGATAGTCCAGAGACGTTGCGGGTGAAGTCTCTCTCAGTGAAGCCGGCAGATCATATCAGCTTTGAAGCGTACTCCAAGAAGTGGCAAACAACAAGAAATTCGATACCAAAAGGTCTGGATACAGTGGAATTTGACAAGTGGTTGTTTAAGCAGGAGAATTAAGTAGTAACACTCTCTAGTTGCTGTCATAATTAAACTCTTTAAGTTACATTACTTTGTGCTTCCTACAAGTTGATTGCACTAGCAACTATAATACATTTACAGATCAAACAAAAGTATATTTCTCTAAAGCAAGTTGTTGGAGGACTACCAGGACTACAAAGTGCTTTAATATTTGTAGGCAAGTACTAGCATCTTTGTCTTTTCGATAGTACATCTAATTAACTAAATTTAAACTACTGTAAAGGGAGTTAGTAAAGCATTTATTCTGCCTGCCTATATCATAGACACTACTAAGGCTAACACAGATGTTGGTCTTAAATATAGATCTTTAAAGGATACTATAGTAAACGCAGTGAATAGCCTTTAGAAGTTGGAGAAAGCTTGAATTTAATACTGTATTATTAGTGGATAGGGCCGTGCTTATTCCTTGATTATAACAGTGTGGTCTTGCTTCCACGTTAAGATTGGTATTCTGCTATCTTGTAGACAAATATTTTACCTTCTGCTTATTTCAAAACTGAAAGTGATCATCCTTAAGCCTGATGATTATACAATTGGAGGGTTCGCGCCTTTGGAACTTGAGGCCAAGGCTGCCCGCTTCATACTTGATAGACGTATAGCGAGTATTTGCAGTCGGCCGCGGGAACGACTATGTTTTCCAAGCTGGTAGCATCAGACAGCACAACATTGTTATCGCAACTCTTCCCGTCGGATAAGGTTATGGAACAGGCTCAGCTATTACTTTGGCTGGCCAGGTCAAAAAGTCTCTTCCTAATCTTATATTTGGTTTCTTCTTTGTCGTGGCAGCGGGACTACCGCAGAATTCTGGCACCTTATTTATCCTCGAGATAATTCGTTGTGCAGTAGAGTGAAGTTATAGCTTCACAGCGAGAACCTCGATTGGCGCAGCAGCTTTGTTCACTGCTATGAACGCTTGAAGCGGGCATTATATTTTCTACCTCGAGTAGAACAAATGGATATCTATTAGGGATAATCATAATGGTTGCATGGTACTACCTACTTGACTTATCGTATATCAGGTTTAGAATTCTGTAGTATCAAGGGCTACAATCTTGCCCCCTGTAACTCCAGCTGAACTCGGGTCACCTAATCTACCATCTGTAACAATATATAATATATGTCTATTGTACCAACTTCTTCCGAAAACAGCACCGGTTGCACCCGCAACTACAGGATTCGACTTCCCACCAGCTACAATCTGCTGTTTTCCCGTAGCTATAGTAATTCGGACAATCAAGTTGGAAAGGTTAGTTGCAACCCATGCATGTTCGGCCTTAGCATCCAGTGCGAAATCATCTGCTTGAAATCCCGAATCAACCGGGTACTGTGCACTCTTCGCAATGGTCTTCACGGGTCCAGCAGCGGTCCCATTAGTGGACAATGGTATGCTGGCAAGAAGAGGTGACATCAAAGAATTAGTGAAGTATAAATGGCCGTTGTGGATCTTGATACCATTGACACCAAATTGTAAAGCTGCAGTTGCGTTAGGCTTGAAATCCGGCACATCGATGGCGACGTTGTAATGCCCATTAAAGATATCTACCGCAAAGATTTGACCGAGGAAAGAGTCGCCTGTCAGGACAACACCAGGTTTGGTGGGTAGGGTGGCAAGGCCGTTCAGGAAGACTGCCGGCGGAATAGCAGTAATATTCTTCGATGTTGGCTTGTTGGAGCTGGGATTCGCAGTATTGTAGTCCAGTGTCCATACGCTCCAACTGCCGGGCGCACCCACACCGGGCGCAGACAAGCTTCCAACATTAACAGCAAAGATGTCGTGTCCCACCTCTGCAATCCCTAGACATGCGTTGGCGTTGGGGAATGAGTATGCGAGCTCAGCAGACCCAGAAAGTGGTTCAACCTCCCAGACTTCGGGCAGATTCAACAGAGTAACAAGTAGGTTTCCGTTGGATCGTACAGCAATATTCTCTACCCAGGTGTTGTTGGGGAAAACAATGACATCTCGCAATGTCTTAGAAATGTTGCTAGCAACCTCTGTGGGTAGAGTCGAAACTAAAGAGCCGAAAGTGGCAAATGTAGCAAAAAGATTAGCCAGACGCATTATCAAAATTGTTTATCGTTGTAAGAAATATTGCGTAGCTGGAATAATATATTGTCTTTTTAGATTGTCCGAATAGTAACAGTTTTGTCAATGCGAAGTATCAATATATATATGCAACTAAAGATGTGTGTTGCGATAAGCAAAGTTGACTTTGTCGCTGCTCTTGGTGCAAATAAACAAGCTTGACAGGGAAGTAAAAGCCGAAAAAATGCAAACAAAACCGGACTTACCATTTCGGCATTAAGAATACTAGTACAATTACAAATTGCCAAGTATCGAAAAGCCTAGCTATGTTGTAAGCATTGAACAACAAACAGCCTTTATCCAGATTCAGAAGTACAAACAGGGAGTTTGAACAATTAATCAGTAAGCGCTTATTAATTGGAAAAAAAAAACAATCAAAAGCTATTAGTAACCCATGCTAAAAATACAATAATTATCCTACAAGATAAGTATTGCTACTTATTGTTCCTTAGCTAATATCTAGTACTACCTCTTGGTGTATTTTAGTATAGAAAAGGAATCATAACATAAGTTTGTGTTCAACATTAAATAAGCAATATATAACTATATAAATAAACTAATAAGCGAATGTTATTTTTTCTCACAAATAAAGGTCCTAGCAAACAGGCAAATAGAAGGTAACCTACGCCTTCTTTAACTCTCTTTAGCTATAGTCGCCTACCTCGTTTGTTTGGCACAGGGGTCCATAGAGCATTGGACCTGTGATTTCCTCCCATCCCTCATAACCAACACAGCGGTAGCACCAAAACACCCCATCGGGATCATACGTCTGTTTGACTGAGTTCAGCCAACTGTACTGGTTTCCGTAAAACGCTTCTTTCCAGTCTGGGTCATTAGGATCAGCCTCATTCAGATAGGTTCCAAGTACAGGAGTAGCATCCTTCATTGCCTTGAGTTTCGTCGACGTCGCGTACTCCTTGACTTGCCGGACTCCTTGCAGCCCACTATCAGTAGGTGGCACGTCGAAATTTTCCGCCAACATATATGTCTTTCGCCACCCGGGATGTATAGCAGTATGTGGCTGGGGGCTGAGTACTTCCCCACCGCCGACGAGACAGAACTCCAACAAAGATGCTATGGCCTGAACTTGGGACGCGCTTTGAGGGAAGATTGCTTCGAGCATAGAGGAGAGGTTTTGTTGATTATTGCTGAGAGAGTCATTGTCAAAGAAACGCGACACCATGGCGGGACTAGGATTATTTGATGCGTTCGAATCATGGCTCCCACTATTGAAGTAGTCTTGAAACGTATCGTACTTTTGAAACGTCGATGTCACAGAAAATCCTGTTCCGTTGAGAGATGAAAGAAAGTCTAGGATCTCCTCATTCACAAGACTCTCTGCTCTTTCTATCTCAGAAGACGAGTTAGAAGAGGAGCCGTCAATTGCCAGGAGCTTCCCAAAACTATGACTGTAAGCAGGGTTTTGTCCAAGTATTCTTTCCAGTTGTCCATATCCTGAAAACCCAGCGTCCAAGAGGGTAGGATACTTGGACAGAATCGTCACAGAAACATTGAGAAGGGCGGAAATATCAGTGCTCAACGCCGTAACACTTAACGAATGCTTCAACACAGGCTGCGTGGGGTATACTTTCAAAGTTGCTGCCAGGACTATGCCAAAGGTGCCGCCACCACCACCTCGTAGAGCAGAAAAGAGATCCACGTTCTGGCAAGCACTAGCGGTGACAACATCACCAGTAGCAAGCACAACCTGATACTCGAGAACTTGGTCTGCTGCTAATCCGAAGTCATGGCTGGCGAAACCGTGTCCACCCCCCTGGAGATAGCCTCCAACAGCACCGACAGTCTAGCACATCATCATTAGTTACATACATAACTCCAAGTAAATGCAATGCCTACCCTGTCTGCGCCACCAACAGCAATATGGCCATGCTCGGCTGCAAAGGCGTATACTTCATCCCAAATATATCCAGCACCCACTACGATTGCGCTTCCGTTCCATGTTGACTGACATGAACTATCAGAGGGCGAATACGTTTCTTGAAATTGGAGCTCGGGCTTGATATGCTTCATCCAAATTGATAGACTACCATATCCCTGGGATCTATTCGACAGAACTTGTCAGTTCCGCTAAGCCATTCAAAGTCAAGGATGATCACTTGCCGTGCTCTGATATCATGACCGGTGTTCTTAACGACGAGGCGCACGTTGTTATCCCTCGCAAATTTGACACCAGCCGCAACGTCAGCTGCTCCAGATGCGTTGATGCTGTATACAGACGCGCTACCCAAGTCGCACACTGGATTGCCGGTTATCGAGCCGTTTATGGGGACACAAGTGTCTAGGACGGGGTACATGTATCCGATTGGAGATGCTTCACGAAATGAAGCATCCTGGTAGAGCTTGCTGATTTCCTGACACTGCGTGAAATTATTGCTAAAACCCGCGTAGCAAGGTTTGGCGAGCGGCTCATTGGCGATTAACTGTCCCTGAACAGTGCTGTTGAGACTCTTCCACTCAAATGTCGATGGCCAGCAATCGTCGGTCGGTGTCTGCGTCATCGGTTGTTAAGTCAGCGTGGCGTCTTTCATCGACAGCGTCCCACACAATCCAGGACTAGAATGACCTACACATTTGCATTTAGCGAGAGCGGATGGAACTCCGAGGAGGAGCATAAACTTCGTGAGATGCATGTTGCTTGTTGGCTCGATATATACAGACGCAGAACAGAATTCTGCTTGGCTTTTTACATACATCTTTGGGCAAAGGTCGGAGGATACCCAGACTTTTAAACCTGAAGGCCTACCTACGTGTATTGTAGAGTGTATTGCTGTAAGCTCGCGCATTTAGCCATGTTGGGCAGGCAGACTTCGCCACGCTGCCATCTCCATAGATTTTGCAGGTTCTAATCACTCCTTATGCGCAATCGAAGCAGCCTAAGCCCTGTCATCGAGAAATTTCCGCAGCTTGAGCGCAATTCACCAGCCATACAACTTCTCAAGAACCTTTTTGACAAGGATGACGGCGCGCAAGTTCGCGCAATAAAGATCAACCACAGAAACAAAAACAGCTAGCTCCGCCAATCGGCTCCAATTTACCACAGCCCCTTAAGCCGCTGTTAATGGGATGGGATTCCGATGACACTATTCCTTGATTTGTTGTAAGCCTCCCTTAAATGCGCGCAATCATGTTTGTTAGAAACCGCCCAATAGAACCTAACGGATACTTACTGCAGCCCTCACGTGCAGAGATGCGAAGACTGTTAGAGCCTACGCAAATGGAGCAATCTTTGCGCAATCAGTTAAATATAGATACAGTTTGTATTGACTAAAATCAACACTCACTACACGTGCTACCTGAAAATATGTTCGGGGTTCTCAGGGCGCTCGTCAGCTGTGAAGTCTTCACAGCTACACAACGCTAGCATCCTTACTCTCAACACCATCTGCCTCTATTGTTGCTCCAAAATGCGTTAAGATATTATTAACGGAGTATCAGAAGATACATTTATTTGAAAAGATGCGAGAGCATTGCGTTTACAAAGACAAAGGCTTATAGGGTAAGGAGGGAGGAGAGGAGGACTAGCAACCATTGACGTCACTGTTCACTTAGTGCAGTAATAAATGTGTGGATGTGCCTGGTACTAAAAGCTTTCCCACATCTCTTGCGAATCACTGCTTGAATGTATGGCAGAGGCTGTGCAGTTAGAACAAATCATCTCATTTACAATAATTTCTTAGCCTCGTTGCTCTTCGTGATGAAGCTGATGGCGGGATGACGAATGAAGACTACAAAGCTGTTGAAATGAACTTGATCTGATCTACATCTACGCGCAGGGCGTCTCCAGGATAAGCCCCGATTCTCATGCGCTACACGAAGCGCGAGCTCAGCAGAGGCCTATTAGAGAGTCAACATGGCAATTGTAGATACAAACCTCGCGCAAATCACCCTTGAAGGGGGAAAGGGGCGGGATCCGTCGCGGAAATTTTGCGCCATTTGCGCTTGCGCTCCAGTGACGAAACAACCCGGCTCTCCAAACGTTGCCAAGTGCATACATGTACCTAGCATCGGGTGGTGCAAATCGGCATTCACCACGGAAAAGTTACGCGTCCGTGGCGCGGAAGAGGCCTTCGACATGCAGACTCCGTACACAGCGGAGCTTTGAGTAAACACAGGTTTCCCTGGTCCTGTAATAAACACGACAGGCGTCGCTCTTCAGCTCCGCTGCAGCATTTGGCAATCTACTTAAATAATTGCTGAGAGACACATTTATGTAGAGACGGTGGCTACTCAGGTATATTGTAATACCAATTGCACACTCGACCTTGAGCACTCCCATGGTGTCACTTGCATACCTGATTCCCAAATGTCGCCCTCCAGTTCCTTCTGCGCTGCGGCGCAAAGACATGGCTTGCCTCTGTTCGCTGTCATGCGCTTAAGGATAGTCGTCGGTTTGCTTACTCAACTGGTTATAGTCGTGGAGAGTGTACGCAATCCTTTCCTCGGCTCATTTACTTCGTATGTTGAAAATCGTTACTTGAATCCGAAGCAGGGAGCGATGCTGTAGTTCCCTCAGATAGAAAGAGTGGTGACGAGGTTGGGCGCTAGCTAGGTAGTAACCTAGGGGGTCCCTCACGAGAGCTTGGACACTTCGAGATAAGCTGTATGCTTGACTTGGACGATTCCACAACGGCTGGCAGAGAACCTCGAAGACTCGAATATGGAAGACGAGTTACAGCCGTATCGCAAGGATCGAGCAACGACCGGTCTTCTAGGCATCTGAATTACTAGCAGTATTCTTGTTTCAAGGCCTGGCGCGCTAGAACCGCCTCTTATGAAAGCTTCCAAGTTCCTTGGTAGATAGTGAACTAGGTTAGGTACATACGTCGGCCGTCTAGACACCTCATTTAACCAGAGACCGGGCCTTTTTTTCAGAGCACTAAGACACAAGCATGCACAAACTACGCCAAGGGGAAATTCACCACAACAACAGAAGGAAGACTGCCAAAATCGCGTTTTCGTAGCAATCTGCGCAAAATTTTCAATAAAGCTTAAAAACTCATCCTCTTTGCAACACGAGTAAACACTTTGGGTGGATGGAGTCGATGTTTTACGTTATGGCTACACGCGTTACACTTACATAGCGCTCTCCGGCATGCTGTAATATAGACGGCTCAAGGGACTAAATCAGCCAACAATAAACCCCGCCGATTCAATCACCTTATATAGGTAAGATACCGCGGCCTCGAAAGGTGGCCGTAAAGTACGTGTAACGTAAAATATAACCTTAAATGAAGGAACTAGATCTGGACTAGCTAAAGGAAAATAAATGATTTGGAATACAAGATTGCAAGCGTTAGAGTAGGAAAAGCTGTGGTCTTGGAACCATAACGGTTTAGAGATGCCCTCCCGGCTTGGGTTGCCGGGAGCAATGCGCAATACATCGAGTAGAGTATATTGTAGCGGGAGGGTTTGTTCACGGCACTTTCTCTTGCCGATTGATGGAGTGCTGCACAACTCTTACTGGTCTACAACATAAGACTCAAGCTGAGCATGCGCATGCCTACTGTACTATGGACTAGCTTTAGGGAAGCTTCAGACTGCGTCTCAGAATCGCTTCTTGTCTGATAATCATGTAGTTTCAGAAGTCTAGCATCAGAGACTAGCATGGCCGAGCAGGATACCGGCGACGAATCCGATAGGGGTACTTGAGGATGCGCAAGATGGATTACCGTATCCCTTCAACTGTCATAGATGCACCACCTTTGAAGTCACTGAATCCATACTTTATCAATCCTTCGAATTTATTTCAAGACACTTACAGATGTAGAGTTTTACTTTAGTAGAAATGTTAAGCAGCCCCTACTGCTGTTTTTGCTGACTAATGAACAGAGCGGCATTTCAATCAATGCTAGGGTCGTCTGGCTTATCCTGTTTCAAATGGTCCAAGGCCAGTACGGAGTACTGGAGTAGGATTCCCACTGACACCGCCTTCCATCATTCCGTGCAAGCCGCAATAATCTCATTGATTGATCCATTTACGAATTGACAGCGGTATGGAACATCAAGATGCAAAAGCAGAAGATTGAACGAGGACCACGAGGCAGATATGCACGCCTGATTTGCCGTGGTTGCAGAGCGCGAAAAATAAAATGCATCCTGCCATCGCGTGCGGATTTAGGGCCACTGTGCAGCCCCCAACCCGAGTCTACAAGCTGCGAACGATGTCGAAATCTAGATTTAGAATGCTTTGTCGAGCAAACTCACCTGGGGCGTCCAGCGGCGAGAAGTGTTATTCAGCCGATGTTGAGTAGTAGACCTGCGAGGTCTGCCAGCTCACGCATACACGATGAAGAGAGATCCAAGCTCTCGAACGCGATCCGGCAATTTCTGTTCTCCGGTGCGATGAATATCAATTTGATAGAGAGCATATGCGAACATACAGGAACTCTGTCTAGCGAAGACGACCTTTACTATTCCATGACCTGCATCAAAGCCTTTGTTGCCTTGGTCTTAGCCAAAGACGCTTCCTTTGGTGCTGGCATCCTCCTGAGAACAGCCTGTGACACCCCATTGACAGATATTGTGAGTCGCGAGCTTGCCGCCTCGCTTGACAATCTGTGAGTCCAGTTAACTCATCCATTGACTTCGCAAAATGACTGACTCTGGAGGCAGGCTAGTCTGGCAAAGATTCTTTATACCGGGAACTCCAAGTCTGGTCATTCTAAGGGAACGCTTACTGTCAAGTGACCCCAACATGAACAATATCGCCACAAGGTTACTTTTTGGAGTGCTTTGTCTTACTGCGTGTACAGCATCGGATATGTATTCTCGAAACGGGCTCTTGAGAGAGAAGCTGCAACAGGCCGTTTCATCGTATGGCCAAGACTTCATTTTTTGCCCACCAACACACATTGATTCAATTGTCGTATGTCGCTTTCTGGCGGCATTCAATCCAACAGCATTAGCCACTTCGCAGAGAGCTGCTCACCACTCCGTAAAAGGAGAACTGTACATCAACCTTGCATATCTTGTAGCACAACGACTCGGAATCCTGCCCGAAACAGGGAGCCACCAGTTCGCAGGCACGAACTCGATCGTTGGCCTAGAAATGAAGCAAGAATTCATCATGTCTGTGCAAGGGCTTCAACTCATCGCTGAGGAGTTTCTCTTGGGGGACCCTCTGTCTAAGTCGCTCAACGCTTTCCGGCATGTCCTGCAAAGAATGCAACCTCATATTTATTCATATCAGATGTTATTGCAGACTGCATCTTGCACGCCGATGATAGTTTTCCACATAAAGTGGACCACGGCAACTTACATGCTAGTCGAAGCTATGGCGGAAATGAAGCAAAATTGGATGAGTCCTAATCGCCTCTTCATTGCGGTTGACGCAGGCGAAAAAAAATGTCTCGCAGAGATAGATTCGGCCTACCAACTGTTGTCCGAGGCATCTGCATTCGCAGACCACAATGAGCAGAATGAAATTATCGCCATATGCTCACTTCTCGAGCTTCGATTTCACACAGTGATATCTAAACTATTCGGCTTTGGACTAGGCTACATGTCTCTGTTCCAGGCAAGGATCCTAACTGGCCATTCGCAATCGGATGCAGATATCTGCAGGCGCGAAGTCACCCAGATGGGAAACGTTGTTGTCAGCAGCTTGTTGTCAACACCAAATCACCAGCGGGACTCACATTTCTTCAAATTCTTGGACCATTTTGGCAATCGATACCCCGACAAGCTGCAAGGCCTTTTGGCCAAATTTGTGGAATGCACAACAATGAAATGGCAAGACAAAAGTTACGTTGCGCCAGTCCAGCCAATAATTCTGGATATTGTCAGTCACTGCAAGAATATCATCGAAAACAATTTGCTTCGGCTGCGGGTTTCCGGGAGATTGCATTGCAATTTTAATAAACAACTCGACCTTTTCGCGCAATGCGCTCACCATATATCCGCCATGGGTTCGCTACCAGGCTGCTCCCCTGACAGGGCAGACGAGGCATACAACAGAGGCTGTGTTTATTCTGCAAGCAGCAAGATAATTCATGGTTTTTGTGACTTGATGAAGAGGTTGAATTTGCAAGTCACCTTAGTTGATGGCTGGGACGAAGCGCTAGGCACAGTCAACACAACCGCTTTCCCCTATCTTCCCACGACTGTTTCTGTCTTTCCAGAGATACCTTCAGCTGCGGCTGATACCATCTCTATGCAGTTCAAGGCTCTGGAAGCATGGAATTTATAGCCCTATCTGGCTCTATAGAGATACTCTTCCTTTTTATATAATTACATAATTTGTTTGAATAGGCGATGCAATCCAACATCGCGACATGGCCCGACGAAGACACGTCAGCAGTCACGCATTGAGATTCTCAGGATTTAACACTACAAGATACACTAAGCACTGGATGATCCTTATATTTAAAAAAACACATAGAAAGCAAGTTAAAGCTTAAAAAGGTGGAGAGAGAAACAGTTGTCCGACTTGAATTAGTAATGAGCGGGGTTATTAGTGGTATGTCTAGACGATTAACGGTGGTTGTTGCCTAAGCTAACGCAAACACCTACCGAATAGTATGTAGAATCGTTAATTTCGTAAAGCACGTCCATTTCACTATTTCGTGCTGTATATTGCTTACCTTCGAATTCGCCATTTAGAATTACACACACTTGCTCAGGATCATAAAAACGAAGAGAGTTCCTGTCTCAAGCAAAGTAGCGAAAAGAAATACACCCAATAGTGTGACCGCCGGTCTTTTATACAAAATGACCCTCAGAACAGTCCGTACTCCCAGCCTCGACCTAGCATTTTATGAACACGGTTCTCCCCAAGGCTGGCCGGTTGTTCTATCACATGGTTTTCCATACGATATTCACGCATATGATGATGTTGTTCCTAGGCTTGTTGCAGCGGGAGCAAGGATCTTCGTCCCTTATCTCCGTGGATTTGGCAAGACTCGTTTCCATTCTGCGTCCACGATCAGATCTGGCCAACAGTCTGCGTTAGCATCAGACTTGGTTGCCTTGTTGGACGCAAACGGAATCGAAACAGCAATTGTGGCTGGGTTTGACTGGGGAGGTTTGGCATCTTGCGCTACGGCACTTCTCTGGCCATCCCGAATCACCGGCCTCGTGTCATATGCTGGATACGATATCGTCAATCCCGGAGAACAGCGGGAACCCAACCATCCTGACTTGGAGCGCACCATGTGGTATCAGCACCTCTTTCAACATGAACGCGGCAAGCAATGCTTGTCGACATTCCGACGTGACCTGTGCTATAGACTGTGGCAGGAGTGGTCCCCCTCATGGCCTTCAATCGACCAGGCGTTTGGCCAAACCGAATCATCATTTGACAATCCTGATTTTGTCGATGTGGTCATTCATTCTTATCGGTATGCGCTCGGCAACGTGAAAGGCGACCCATCACTGCAGCATTTCGAAGACAAGCTCGCCGTAAGACCCAAGATCACCGTTCCTACAATCACGTTAGACGGCACTCAGGATCCATTGAAACCTGGAGGCACCGGACACCACAATGAGATGTTTTCAGGCCTTCATGAGAGGAGAGAATTTGATGTGGGCCATGCTTTCCCTTTCGAGAATCCTGTGGCATTTGCAGAAGCGATCATAGATGTCCATAGTTGGGCCTCTGGAGTATGAGATAGCTTTGGCTATAATTCGATATGAGATACCTTTGTCTATGGGAAGACCTTAATCTTTGTAATCTTGGGTTCGTGAGCGAATCTTCTTTATTCACACAACACCTACAAGCTCTTTAGTGCTCGAGCCTGATAGAACCCTTCGTTTAAGCGGTAGATTTATCGTGAGCTTATTCTAGACTTAGTAACTGCTTAGGCTGAGAATTACTATATTGCAACTTTCATAGTGACTAATAGATTTATTTGCTAGTAGTTTGCAAAACAGGTTATAAGTTTTTCGACTAAATAAACGCGGCCTAATTGTCGCAAAGAGCTTCCGCATTACTAAAACAAACTTGTACAGCTTACATATAGGACCAACAGGTAAAACCTTGTATTACAGAATTATCATAACGTCCTAGTAATAATGTAAAGTACATCTTCATAGCCGAAGTTGATGGCGGATAAAGCTATCAAAGCTATAAAACTACATGTAACTTGGTAGAAAAGTAGATTAAGAGATGCTTGCAGGCATGGAATAAATTTCAAAAGCAGATGTTTAAACAGGTAAAAACATACTAGAATTCATATCAACAACATACCTTACAAATCAAAATAACAAATCCATTTAACAAATCTGATTTTCTCGATATGTCATCATGTTGGGAAGAAGAAGGAAAAATGTCAAAGCACAACAATTTGGAGAATATTTGTGAGTGAATACCGTTGATAGTTTATTCAATACACAGAAAATTGGGCAAACGACAAGCATATCCCTTGATTGCTACATTAGCAAGAGCGTAGGTAGAAATAGAGCTTGGCACGTAAGACTCGGCAACAAATGACAAGGGAAAAAGATGTGTTCAGATGAGACTGATAGGAGTATTGTTACCCCTACAGTAATATTGTACAAGCGGGAAAGTCAGAGAGCGGACAGGAGCGGCACCGGAGCGGATGTGAGCAGACAGGAGCGGACAGGAGCGGATTGAAGACACCTGGAGCAGAAAAGAGGGGGCAGAAGCGGACACTTCGCAGCTTCTCAGTACTAGTAATAATTTCTCATTATAAATCAAGATGTTATATATTCGATATGATTTGTCAGTAAGCCGCTCACTGAGTCTTGGTCAAGATCCATGTCTTTACCTCATGATTCACAAGACTATTGGGCTGCGCAAATAGACTATATAAGCAGCGAGCGATTTACATATTCAATACAGCAAATACTTGTTCAATGCAATATTTGACTCTGCAACGCTCATTTTGAACAGCTCTCTCACTCATAAACAAGGAAGCTTCACCGGCCACAATGTCAAATGTAGAATGGGGATTTGACACGACTGGTGTCTCAGTCGTACGGGCATTTTCTGACAGAGTCAATGGGAAAACCAGTGCGTCGATTCCGTGGCTATCAGTGGATGATGTATTGCTAATACTAATGACACTCTTTGACAGTTTTAATCACTGGCCCTAGCCCTGGGGGTATCGGAGCAAAGATTGCAACCGATCTTAGTGAGGGCGCATCCCCAGCTCATATCATTTTGGCCGGCCGTGACTTAGTCAAAATACAACCACTTACCGCAGAATTACACAAGCTCAATGCTTCCATCAGAGTTGATCTTGTTCAGTTAGATCTTGCATCTCTTGAATCTGTCCGCAAGGCTGCTAAAGAGATTGCAGACATGACCAACCAGATTCACTACGTTTTTAACAATGCTGGTATCATGGCGACCAAAGATTTTACGAAGACGGTGGACAATATTGAAGCACAGTTTGCTATTAACCATGTCGGCCACTTTCTACTCACGGGTTTGCTCCTGCCGCTCATAACAAAGGCCTCAACCGCAGCTGCCGTATCAGGCGACCACAGCCTTCCGGTTCGCATTATTAACCTCACAAGCAACGGGTATATCTTCCAGGGGGTTCGGTTTGATGATTATAATTTTCAGGATGGAAAGGAATACGGCCCTTGGCTAGGCTATGGCCAAGCAAAATCGGCAAACATAATATTCGCTAAGGTTCTATCGAAAAAGCTCGAAAGCTTCAACGCGACCTCATTTTCCGCCACCCCTGGTCTGGTTCTTGAAACAAATCTGCAGAGTACCGTCGACAATGATGTTTGGGCTTCTGTAGGGGAAGCGTATGATAAAGCATGGGAGGGTAGAGATAAGCCACCGTTTGAAGAGCCTAAGCCTCTTGCCTGTGGCGCGTCGACACCTCTTAGGGCTGCACTGGACCCAACGCTCTCCACTACTCCTGGTGAATATCTCATGGACTGCAAGATCATGGATGAATCGGCTAAGCTGGATCATATCAAGGGTAGTGAGGTTGGGGAGAAGCTATGGGGGCTGAGCGAGAAGCTTGTTGGCCAAACGTTTTCTGTGAACTAGATTCAAACTAGCAGTACTCATATGCCCAACATATGGCGCTATTTGCCCCAAGCATTTTGGACTTTCAAGCACTCTATCGCTGCTTCAGGAAATAGTCCCTTTTGTCACAGGACAAATGTGCGCCGCGAATTATGTCAGTTTTCATAGCCCAGGTACAGTTCAATCCGAATTGGCCTGGCGTATGTGAAATTAACAAGCGCATTTCTGAGGAGGCAACATTTATGCCAATGGAATGTCTTGGACCTTATCTAAATTGTTTTGGTATAGCATAATTACTATCTTTGAACCTAGATCAACAAAAAAACAAGCAACACGGATAGCCAACTTTCAAGGTATGAATGAATCAGGCTCAGTTTAATCTTTGAGAATTTGTAGTATCCTCCAATTCATTAACTTTAGCAGCAAAAGCAAACCGGCTCATAACCCCGAATTATCTAATAAACCAATGAACAAATGGAGTATAACGAAGGACTTGTCTAAACTTCCCTGCCTGACTATTTCCAACATTCTCTCGAGCAGGCGGTACCACATTACGCAGATACAAAGCGATGGAGGTATAAAGTCCGGTAATAAGCCATTCGGGGACAACTTGTAGACAGAGCTGAATTGTCTCGTTTCCATTCCCGAGAGGAGAGAACTTTGGGTCTTTGTCAAAAATTGAAAGTAGAGAGTACGCAGCGCGAACAGCCAGCAGTAATACAGACACCAGCATCATTGCTAAAGTAATGCTTAGGCTGATTTGATGAGTGTTCAATTGCGGAGTTTTCTTGTGTTGACCCCAGAGTACCACGGCTGCACTCCCTATACAGACAAACGTCGCAACATACAGGCAGATTCCTACTTTGAGTGCACTTGTAGCATCCAAGCTACCTCCGGAGAGGTTTGCAGGTTTGAAAGACTGTATCCCCCCCACGAGCGTGACGATAGTCGATACTACTGTACATAGCTCGAATGTAAATAAAGCACGCTCCATTTGATTTGGGTCAGCTTTCACATGGATGAAGGCATTGTGTTGAATTAGAAGACGCGTTGAAGCGAGCAGCAATGGGCCTAGTCCGATTGTGTTACAGATAGCCGCGCCCATCACAAGGCTCTTATTGCCGCCGCCGCTCTTTGTATTTTCCAAGGCTAGCTGAAAAGCATTTCCGACAATTCGCAGGGTTACGAATAGACTGAGGGCTAACCATGGAAATCGGGTAGCGAAATATTTACGAGCAAGAGCGTAGACTGTCTGCGGAAGGATAATTGCGTATATGATAATGGATGTAATAGCGACGGCCCCTCGATAGTTGACCATGTTGGGCTTCGTGGTTCGGATGTCTCGCTGTGGTGTGCTTGACGACACTGAGATGCAGTTGGAAACAATGCTTGCTTTGCATAAAAGGGCATAGCAGATCTACTACAATTCTTATATGGCAAAAGGAAAGGTACAAGAGTCCTTTGTGACACATGCTCAGGGGGCTGCGATGGCCATTAGTCCGAAAAGGGAAATTGATTCGAGCAACTTCAATGACCTGTCTGAAAGACTCCATATATCAATCGAAAACCTAATGAGGAAACTGTTTCGAGACTATCTGAGCTGACAGAGAGGCCTCATTTTGAAACCAACTGCTAGAATAGATTTGATCCATAATTTGAGACTGTTGAAGGCCTAAATTTAGCAACATGCTAAGGTAGATAGGTACTAACAAGGCGAATCCCGGTGCGTTCGATCTTATCCTGACATCGGGAGCGGCATTTCGAGATGCTTGGCATTATAACAAAACGGTGATCGGCTTGAAGTCGGTCTCTAGCTTGCGTGTTGCATGCTCCGGGATGACACTCAATTGGGACGCGCCTCGCATCTATCGGCAGATTGATCTTGATCGAGGTATAAAGTCACCATCTCAATAATGTTTCAGAACACTCGCTGTTATCATTCAATTATATCTCTCACACCAAACAACCTCTTCTCTGTTTTATTTCTCCAAATCAACATGCATTGGAAGCACTCTCTCTCCTGTCTGTTCGTCTTCCCGACGCTGAATTATGCTTCGCCATATCCATCCAAAGATCAGATCACGGCCATTTTTTCCAACCTAACGGGCACTAACTCTTCATACGCTTCATTCTTCTCTCATGTCTCACCAGCTGTGAACTGGACCATTGAGGGTACCCATCCTGCTGCGGGTCAATATACCAATCGTACTATTCTCGAAGCCACCTTCGCTCGAATCGATGCTACAAGCTCTGAAGAGAGACCAATAATACTCACTTTGATCAATATCATCGGTGGGGGAGATGAAGAATGGAGTGTGCAGGAGCTAGAAGTTTTAGGCTACTGCAAGAATGGTCGGTTCTATCCTATCCTTATTGTGGCTGAATATCTACAGCTGCATATACGTGGCCTGTAGGTTTGCTGAACTTTCTCAGGCCTGAAATTTGATAACCGCTATGCTTGGGCGACCCGATGGGATTCAAATGCAACGATTGTAGAGGCGCGAGCATATTTAGACTCGATGTTAGTTTCGCAAGCGTTGCAACAGAATGAGCTTGGAACTCTGTTTACGTATAACGACCCCAGAAGTGTTCTTGTTCCATATGTTGAGCTTTCTGAAGCAATTGCCCTCGAGGCTACAGGGTTGTCTCAAGAATGACATTGCTCTCTTTTGCTAGCCTCATGGTCGTAGCTCAGTATCAGCACGGTACACCTTTCAATAATTGACTCACACTCTTACTCCTTTGCTTTCTATTTCATCCTCATTGACTACAAGACATTATATCTATCTACCGAACGCACTGATGGGTGTTATCGACGCCTCTCATTGAGATCGTCGCACAATCTTTTTGCCCTTGTTTTTTCCCTGACATTTCATGCAGGCGGATCCGTTTTCTCGTGGCATCGTTGATCAAGCTGTTGTCGATGAACTGAGATGACATCATTACAGCTTCACCCTGACTAAACGATGCTTGTATTGGGGAGATTGCGACCTCCGGCACGGAAAGGTGGGTTTGGTTGCACAGATTCTTAAAAAGTAAATTGCACTTATAGTAAAACGAGTCCAGACATCTGTATAATTACATATTTATTATCCTGCTGGTAGCAATGGTATATGTGTCATTTCTAATCTTTGCTTCATGTATTAAGAGGCAGCTACCGACCGGATTCGATGGAGTAATTGTAGCCCCTTTCCCATGGCTAGACAGCGCCCCCAAGTAGGAGCATCGCATAAGACCCGGACAACCTCCTGGATAAGCCGCGCTGCACCATCCGAGCCGAGGATACAGCCCACACCCGCCAGGTAGGGGCGAATCGAAGCGCCTCGTTCCAGCCAGGTCTGCTCGTCGTGCTGGCTATTCTTCTGGTCCAGGCGAAATATTGGCGCTATGGTTACTTGGTTTTGATCGAGAACTCGCTCAACGTTCTGTTGTGCAGACGCACCGGATATCTCTCCGTAGATCCAAAGGGCCTGGCAAGAAGCCATCATCGCACGGCCCTCAAAATACGCATACATGTTGGAATGACGAATGCAGCCGTACAGCTTGCCCGCGTGTAAGGCGACCTGGCGAGCCTCTCCACCGCGTTGTCGTATCCAAGTCCGGAGACGGTTTTGGCATTCGAGAATATCATCGCTCGATACACGGTATCCGGAGTAGCAAAAGAGCTCACCTATGGATATACCGAGAAGGATGCCGATCGAGTGATGGTGTATCAGGATTGCAGACTTGAGCGAAGACAGCCTGGGCAGCTCCTCAATCCCCGAACATAGTATCCGCAGGTATTCCATGGCTCTGCTAGTGCCTGGGAACGTTTCTGGCGTTATATCCTGGACATTATCAGGTTGCAGGCCGTCTCCAGCAAAACTGGGTGGTGACCAGAATCCGTCTTCCAGACAGTGGCGGTACCTTAGCGCAGTTCGGAAGACACCCAAAACAAGGAGCAGGGTGGAGAAATCACCGAGATTCTGCGAGTACGTCTTGTTTCTGTACAAATTGTTTAACTCCTGTCTGATGCTCAGGGGCTGATCTGCTCCTATACCATAACTGCTTAGCCATACCACAGTATAGATATCATACCTTGGGTTCTATGACTTACCGTCCTTGCCTTGCTTCTGGAGGACTTCAAGCCACGTAGCTGCGGTAGAAGCCCGCCACAGCTCCTCTGTGCCGGGCATTGGCAGCCGAAGCAAATCTGTCGGGATGATTGGTGGCAGGTCAAAAAATAAAGCATTCTGGCTATCAAGAAGCTGATATCGAGACTCGTTAGTGAGTTTTGACAAGCGACGAATTAAAGGGGGGGAAAAAAGGAGAGAAATCGCTGGAGCCGTATACTCTCACAATGGAAAGGAAGTGGACGCATAAAGTGGCTCATACTGACCCAGACCGAATATGCCAGCCGGCACATACTCTCTTTACGACTCCACAGCCTCCATGCCTCCGTGCATGGTTGCCTGGGGTCAACGCCATGAACGCGTGGTCCTACTTCGTTGAAACAATTGACTTTTCGGCATACTGATGCGATGAGGCTACGGATAGACTGGGCAGACTCAGTGAGCCTGAGGTCACTTGAAAATTGCAAACCAATCTGGTTCAGTAAACCAGCCTGAGCTAACCATGGCTCATGCGTTACCCGGTAGTCCTCTTCAATCTTGTTCACATCGTGAGCTTCCTAATTCTACAGGTTTGATGAGGATGTTGTATACGCACTGCGACATGAAAGGCACGGCGAAGAAATTCTTGGAAAATATCCACGCAATCAGCGGCAGCAGAGATCTTGGAGTAGCGACACCCAATTGTCACCAAAGCAAGGATTACCAGCCAATGCTCGTGACCAGGGTCAAAGGTCGGTTTGTGGATGAAGGGGAAAAGTGGATCGAATTCTTCGAAGAAGAGCTGCATAAACGCGTTGCAGGCAGTAATGGAAGGGAAAGCGCCAGTCGAAAACTGCTTGTACCCAGCTTTGGTCGTGCTGTTCAAGGATTCAAACTTTGCTACGATTTGATTGTACTTTTGTCTAGGAAGAGGGCTGACGTGGGCGAGGTCCTCGGGGCACCATATGTCGTCACTATCCCTCGAGGAGAGTACTGGATCAAAGGTGCCCATTATGGTAGGGTTAGCCTGTCCCTTGGCGACCCTCGCACTTTGAATTTTCCATGCCTTTTGTATATAATCGTCAAACCTCATTGCTTGGCCCAAATTTGGCTCGGGGCTGGCTCTCGCGGCAAGGAAGCTCGGCACGGGTGCGCGAGACTCCGGTAGGTGTTGGTTCGAGTCCGACGCAGAAACCGAAGCGCCTGCTTGCGAAGGAAAGAAATTCTCTGGAAACATTACCTGTGGAAAGCCGGCGTTTGGGCACTGATGGAGCGAGCCAAGGTCCAGAAAGCTGTCCCAGAAAGATGGATCCTGTGCAGCCATGTCGAGGGGGTATGGATCAGAGGACTGGAGCCCAGAGGCCAGAGACGCAAATTCGAGGCCTAGATGCAGGACATTGACCTGTTGCAATGCTCCTGAGCAGTCCAGCTCAGCCCTGTCCCCGGACGGGATTGAAAGGAACTGCTCGCCGGCCACAACCGGGGGGATGCCCGGAGAGGAAAGGCCATCAGAGTGTCCTGACATATCCAGGGAATTGCTCGGGTCCTCTTCACCGTACTCCTTTGGTCGTGATTCCTGCAGCTCGGCACCTGAGTGGCCAGTCTGAGGAGAGGAATCGATGAGCGTCCTCAGATGTCGTGGGACATCGTCAGCTGACTGCGAGCAACCGTTAGACGGGCTCTTGCAAAGGTACACATCTCGTGTGCAGCACTTGCCTGGGAAGACTGAGGGTGCAAATACGAGCACAGCTGATTCTTGGAGAGGCATCGGCTACATGGCTGGTGGCCATCACAGCGCAGCTTGGATTGCGAGCATTCGCGGCATGCCCGCTTTACCCTGCTATGCTGGCGCTCTTGACGGTTCGCATCGTGCACTGAGATATGCCGCTGCAAGGTATCTCTGCCATTGGCAAAGACGGTTAGTAGGCTTCCAAGCCTAGATGTCAGCAACAGGATGGCTCACTTCCGCGAGAATGCGCGCCGGCAGTGGGAGCAGGAAAAGGGCTGCTGGCCCAGATGTCGCATCCTGTGCCTCAGAAGGTGCTCGGCACGGCGAAAAGTTGCGCTGCATTCGCTACAGGCGTGGCTAGCCATGTTGGAGCGTTAACGCCTCGCAGAGGACCACCCAGCCAGTAGCAGTTGAGGCGAGGTGTAGTCAAGATTTGGAAGTGCCCCAAGGACGGCGGCGAGGACAGTCGTAAAGGGTGATCGTTGTAGATGGTGCATGGTGTAACCTAGAGTGCAAGGACTATGGAGCTTTTGGAGCGGGCCGGCTCGGAGTAAGAAGTAAAAGCGAAATCCGGAGAAAATGAAGCCCCATATCAACCATCACTCATGCTTTGTCGCGAGCGCCCCGACCCTCAAATGGATAATATTGCCACCACGCATATTGAGACACGTTTACCCATGAGTCGAGCTCAAAGCCAACCCTGCGAGACCGGCCGTCCGCTGACGGCAACATGGAGTTTCGGCCCCGATGATGTGACTCCTACAGCACAGTGCTGTGCTCAAGATTGTTGACAGGGCTCGATTTGCAGGTAAGAATCAACCTTGATCGAGACAAAAGCTCAAGCCCAAGGTGGCTTTGTTTGTGACCGCCGCCGTTCAGGTACCAGCGACCCGAGCGGGGTGACCCCACTCGGGGACTCAATGGAGTTTTGGTAAGCTGAAGGATAAATCCTTCAATGCCGAATGCACCTGGTGGTTGTAAGCGAAGTTGCGACAGCCGAGCTCTGGCAATTTTTTTTCTCTGCCGTGGACATTTTATGATTGCCAATACATAATGCAAGAATGGCATATATCGCTGCAGTTGAATTTACCCTGGAAGAATAAACACCACTACTCAGACTCACAGGACCCTACAGTACCAACATGAGAATGCTAGCTCTAAGACACGGGTTGTTATAGATCACAATAAATTTATGCAAACGCAGGCCTGAGATCAGAGATTTCTACTTCTACCATTAATGAAAATGTGGAGGCATGGCTAATCTTATTACATTTTCTAGTATATCTATTGCGCTCATTCAGTCCTGTAAGAGCTGTACAAAATGGAAAACAAATAAGATTTCCGCTCAATCTAATTATAACCACCTGTCTAAACAATTGGCAAGACGACATAACTTTCGTAGTCCTTGCCAATATGGATGTTATTCATTCCACACAGCTTTCTCTCATCCCTTGGCAATCATCAGTTCATGAATTATCCCAAAAGGTGGTTCTAGATGGGGATACTAACCTGTCAATTAGGTCGTGGCAGACAAAGAGATCTACGCCTGCAGGGTCCTTGGGCGAAATCTCAAGCACCAGATGTTCACCTTTTTCTACGACCACGTTTGTAGGCCAAAGCTCAATCTGCAGATCGTATACCTCGCCGTTTCTCACCTCTTTCTTGTCAGACCTTTTGTGACTTGGCACCGGTACTGGAAGGTGGAAACTGTCGGGGTATGGGTTTGGGTCGATGGTGCGATGTGAAGCGCGAAGCCAGCCAAACACTACAGGTGTAGGGCTTCCTAGGCTAGAGCTGTACGAAGACTCATTCCCTTGTGCGTTGATCTTTCGAAGAGCAACATAAACGTCAAGGTCTGGCTCGCTTTCGCCTTTATGATCGGTCAAGGAGACAGCAAGACGGACATGCCCGTGCCCTGTTACTTCATACTCCTCTTCGGCCACTGGAGTAATGAATTGAATACCTTCCCCACTGCATCGGAAATTAGTGAAAGTGTCTATACGAGTGTCTGTAATTGACTTACGCTGGTGCTTGGTAAGAGAAGGTAGCCTCAACAGAGGGTTTCTCTTTTGATAGCATCTTGTTAGCAGTAAGATAATGTTTCTCATAATTTGTGCGGGCGAGCGGCCACTCCTTTTCGTCACGGAACTTGAATTCCAGTTCACCTTGCATGCTACCTGGTGATTGTGTGCCGCGGCGAACTGCAAACGCGACGGGGGCCTGTTTGCCGGTCTTCCAGCCGTCATAGTCGTCCCCCTTGAGAAAGCAGTCAAGGAATGACTTTTGATACGTAATATATGGTTCAAAGTAGTAAGGCAGATCATGGCGCCCAGTGTGTATACGCAGGAATTTGTACTGAGAACTCGCTCGCATATAGCCCAAGACATTACCTCGGAGATGCAAACCAATTCCGCCCTACATATATTATTAGCCAAGAAAGTGCGACAAGCAGTACGCTTCACCTTACCCAATTGCCTGCACTGAGCAGTGGAACCTGAATGCTAGAGTAGTTTTCACCAACCATGTGATCTTTGTACCATTCGTCATCGATCCATTCATTTTCAAGGAGGAACTTTGGAAACCTCTGGTGCAATTCTTCCAACTCGGAGTCACCGAGCTTGCCTTCGGGTGACGTTGGGCCCCAGTTACCATTGGACCTGTTCCGGTTGCCATAGTGGTTTCGCATAATCTGCCTGAGATACCAGACATCCATGAACTGCAATTGAGATTAGCATCAACAAGGCCAACGGAAATCTCGGACATCGCATACACTATGATAGATACCGCCATGGCGGCCTCCCTCCCGGTAATAGTCACCCAAGCCCTCCCAAGGCACCATGCATGCGAGACCTCGGGGTTGGCGTGCTGCCGTTGGCCACTTGAGTTAAATGTTAGCATAAAGTGACGGGTTAGCTCTTAAAGGACCAACCTGGTTAAGGGCCAAGTAGGATATTCCTGTCAGACCAATCTTGCCAATTGACCATGGCTGGTCTGCAGCCCACTCGATGGCTTTGGCGTAATCTATACTGGCATGAGAAAGTGTAATTTCATGCTAACGCTTGAGGAGACCAATTAGGAACGCTTACCATCCCAATTTTGGGTGCTGAACGGCCTCGACGCGCCACTGGAGGCACCTGAACCTCGGTGATCCATTATAACAACTGCGTAGCCGTGAGGGCACCACCAGCTCGGCGCAGGTGCCTCCCACGACAAATGATTGCTCTTCATGGTCTCAGGAAGATCTGCTGCAAATCTTTTATACACTTCGTTGTCGATAAAAGGCCTAAGGCAGTCATGTTAGAGATATGACGAGGTCAATGATACGAGCACTACATACACATCTTTTCCGTAAGGGGTTGCCGTCATGAGAACAGGGAACTTAGGCCCCCCTGAGCGAGGAAGAAAGACATTTAGGCGTATGCGATCACCGTCACCAACCTCAAACTCCTCGTTAATATGGGCAATGTAGCGATCATCACTCTCGTCAACAGTTGTAATAGCCCCAAGTGGCTTGTAGTTGTCTTTGTAATCCATGGTAAGTACAATAGAAGTGGTTGATGATCAGGATATCTTGTTTTGCCGGCGCTGTATACTACCTTCTGGATCATCGAGGGTCATTATCGGGGACGCTCATGCGGTCTTATATCGAACGCCGTAGAGCTCGTGGATCTAGTAGAACAATCCTTGGGCTTTGTAACACGTCGAACCGTGTAATACACAACACTCCAGCTAGTGGAACTCAACCACAGAAGCCGACTATACAAACTCACTCGGGTAATGCCGTGCGGAGGTGGGGTCTCCGAAGGTCGTCCTGTAGTATCCGGCTAGCAACAGGGGCTGTTGTAATTCGCCTTACTTTTTAGTAGAGATAATCAAGAAGAAACTATGCTGGCCCTGACCAAAATTGGCGCTGCCCACCCCTGGCTTCTACCTATGTTTCGGTTGTACATAGGCAAGACCACAAATTTTTGCAAAGCGGCATAACTAGACTTCTGAGGGGCCTTTTGCTTGTACGACAACTGGTGATAACTATTGGTGCCCTCTTTTTACTCTTTACGTTGGGTAGCCAAGTAGCGTCTCGGCAAAAGTCTATCCTGCATGTCATGGTCTCTATCTTCAGCAATTCAGCCATTTAAGAGGCGTTCGTACATATAAGCTTGCTTAAGTCGAAAATCCTACTTAGATAACTATAGAAGAAATAAGGGTATCACGGGAGGCTACCCCGCTCGGGAGCGCTTCGCGTCTTTGCAAGCAAGGATTACCATAAGAGACACCCCACTTGGTCCTCTAAACGACACTTGAGCGTTCTGTCGTCTTTTATTCAGAGTAAGAACAATCTGTTGAATAAGCGCATTGTCTACGCTAGGCGTTACAGCTACCCGTAAGGCCATTATCTGTGATAGGATCATTGCCGAGCTGTAAGTTTAACCCGAGCTCTTGCGTTTTTCCCCTTTGTCATTTTGCTGAATTAGGAAGTGGGACACGCGGATGACGGCTAGAGCTGAAGCGTCGTGTTAGAGTTGCCGTGTTTGTTGATTGGTGTAAAGGGAATCTTGGCTTTGCATCTCCATCCATGTTTACACTCGGGAAAAACCCAATGTCGCTAGTATATAGAGTTTGTCTCTTGACTCATTGCGACAATGCTTAGATATCGCACAAACTTCCTGCTGACTGATAACAGTATTTAAAATAATCTACCGTACTATATTAACTACCTATATAATGCATTACTCAACTATATAATGCATCAATCCACCAAATTTAGCGCTAAGAGATAAGTCAATAAGGACACAGTGTTATTGCCAGTTCTTTCCGATCCTAACTTTGGAGCTATCCTTAAGAGCATAGTGCTTACATGTGATGTATATATGCAAGCACTTCCTTAATAAAATTTACAAAGGAACTGATATTCGCAAATACTTGACAATACACAAACAAAACCTATCGCTAATCCGCCTCAATGCTAGATGCAACAGCCTGGCTATAAGCTTGGTTCCGAAATAATGCCGTCCAGCGTTTACCAGAAGCTAGATAGTTCTCTGCGCGAAATTCGACTATTATCACCTGCATCGCTGGAAAATGGAACTACATGGAAGCTGACGACGTTCGCACTCGAGACTTCTCCCCCATTCACAGCGTTATCATATCTCTGGGGAAATGCCGCTGAAAAAGTCGACATTGAAGTTAATAGTCAACTTTTTCCAGTCACCTCGAGTCTTGCATTAGCCCTTAGACATATAACATGTCATTGGCGACAACAATTCCCGTGCCGACCAATAGTGGAATTTCGTCTCTGGGCAGACGCTTTATGTATCAATCAGAACGATGTCAAAGAACGGGAAGAACAAGTGAAGCTGATGGCTACCCTTTATTCCACGGCGGAAATTGTAATGAGCTCCCTTGGCCCATCAACTGAGGCAATGAAGGTGACCTTTGATACTCTTCATCTTGTGCATAGCGAGGTGAGGAACCTCGATGAAAATTGCACGATTGAGACCAGCTTGAATTGGATGCAAAAGCACTCGGTGCTAATTGAGGCCGATGTGGGACTACCGGATGACCAGTTTGACGCTAACAAGTCTTGGAGACTTCTCCGAGAGTTTTTATACATGCCATACTGGCGTCGCGCATGGGTTGTTCAGGAATTGGTTTTGGCAAAAAGTCTTCTGTTTTTTTCGGAATCACATACTCTCGATCCCGGTGCTTTGTTCGCCACCCTTCAGTGGTTCCAAGGAACAAAACAAATTGCAAAAGACAAAGTCGTTAGACGTCCTCATTGGCTTATTCCCTCGGTCTGGAACTTCCTCACGTACGACAATCTATTGGGATGGAAGGCTATTCTGCGGATTTATTCCGCGAGGACTCAAGACCACAACAGTCGTTCCTCCAGGCTTGTCCTTTCATGTGCGGGGAGCGATCTTCAGGCCACAGATCCAAGGGATCTCATATACGGTACCATGGGGCTGACCAAGATGGGATTCGACCCGGATTATTCCACTAATTCGTCTTTGGGTATACTGTATGCGAAATTCATGGCTTGGTGGTTAGATGAAGTAACAGCTCTGCAGACTGAGGACTCCGACTGGACTTTCAATCACCTGGATTTGCTGGGTGAGGCTGGGATTGGACAAGTCGATGATAACGACGAAAATATAGCGTTAGCCCGCAGCCTCCCGTCATGGATCCCAAACTTCCCCCTCCATGGAAAGATCTATACTCCACATATTTTAATATCACCGAAAACTGCGCATGCAAGGGTTTTCCCAGAAGATACACCTCTACCGCAAGTCAAAAACCTGAGCCTCTTTGTTCCGGCGATCATTCTAGATAACATTGTGGAAGTTGATAAAGTCAAGTTTATCAAAGAGAAACATGGCTTGTTGGAGTTTGTTGTTTCATATTTGTCAAGGCATGTGTTGCATCCGAGCGGACATCCTGCGTTACAAAGTGTTTTTCGCACTTTCATGAAGGATATACTACTCGATGCTAATCCAGAGGATCAGCACGTCATGATACGCTTTTTTGGGTTTGTCCGCGCTATGATTCACGGGCCTGAAACAGGCGTGGTGAATCTGGAACCGGAGGAAGCATTGCAAAGCTTGGGCTTTTCAACAGCGTCTCCATATCAATTTGCGGAATCGGTAAAGAAAGTTTATCTTCCTAGCCTGAGTGTAGAGACACTGATATGGGTAGAGGGCTGGCTTTCTTTGCTGCTTCAACCAGCTTGGGATGGTAAGTGGTCCAGCCCAGCTGTACTTGATCTTTGTCTTCGTGTTGTTCTGGAGATCAGAGAGCTCAATTATACCAGCATTGCTGAAACCTCGAAAGGCTACTTGTGCATTGTTCCCATTGGGACTGACACGGCCGATCAGGTTTGCTTGATGTACAAGAATGATAGCGCTTCTGTAATCAGGGACAAATGCGGGTACTGGGAGCATGTAGGGCGCTGCTATAGCTTTGGATTATCTGAATTTCGTACCCAAGAGTTTACTAGTAGTATATCAAAATATGAAATCCTAGAGCTGGTGTAATAACTAGATAATAATACAAGGAATTCTATAATAAACTATATATATTTATCCCTTAGAAATCCCTATTACCCTATAGTAATAACCTAGGATCTATGGAACAAATTATTATACAAGTGCTTCTTGTACTATTATACTATTTATTCAAACTTTGGTCTAGAATATACCTTGGTTCTTAACTGCTCCAGAAGATTGCTTAAAAGTAGTAATAGTTGTAGTACTCGAAGTTACTGTAGTAGTCTTAGAGCTGGTAATAGTTGCAATCTTAGAGCTAGCAGCTACAGTAGTCTTCGACTTGGCAGTAGTAGTTACAGGCTCAAAGACATTAATTCTGCCCTTACTACCGCAAATCTCTTGCTTGTTCCCACTGCATGGACTGTTGCACTCCGTCTGGTTCCAGGTCGTCTGTCCGCCGACAAAGCTACCACACCAGCGTACAGAACAGTACCGTTGGAAGCCTTCCAGCACTGGTCCTCACACGTCTCAATCTGGAGCGCAGCGTCGTTGCTGCTCACTTGTTTTTCCAAAACAGGATACTTGGCATCATCATCTGTATAGCATCCCAGGGCGTTCCAAGAAGTGGGAGACGGCACATGCGTAGATGAGGAGGAGGTGGTAGTTGTTTTTGCCTTGGTGGTAGTATGTGTTGAAGTATAACTGGCCCATTTCTCCTCAGTAAGAATGCAGTACGATTGGTAATTCCACGGCTTGCAGTCTACGCCAACAGAAGGGTTCCACTTGTGGAAATCTTCAGGAGAGATTCCAAGCATGGAGCGGATAGACTCGCAAGTATCTGAGCCAGCATTGTTGAACCATTCCCTGCAGGTAGAAATGGTGTTTGGATCCCATTGAAGCTCAGGATGAGGGCTTGCGGCAGTCAAGGTGATGCCCCAGCTAAGAGCTAGAGCAACGCCAGACTTCATCGTAAAGAAGAGCGAGTAGTTTCACTGTTGAACTATGCTTGTGAAGTTGTGAGGGAAACAAGGGTAAAGGATATCAAAGAAACACTGAAGAATGGAAAGGAAGAAAGACGGAGGTGATCAAGGCAGGACTATTATGGCTGAGTCAAACTCAACTGGACTCTCCTTGGTCGGCAAGAAAATTCTTCGACACGAAGAAGCTCAGCTGTCAAAGCCCGAGGAGTAGAGGTGGCCGAGGCCCTACCGATACAAGGTTACATTGCCGAGAAATAAGTTAAAAAAGAAACATTTCCTTTAACCTTGTCAGAGCCGACCGAGCATCCACTTGTCCACTCTGTGCGACTTACAGAGCAAAGAACATATCACGATCTCGGCGAGCTTCCGTTGAGACATTTTGCGACCGTGACTACTATGTACAACTACTACCTAGGTACCTAATTGGGTTAAGTGTCAACTTGAGCTCTTACAAATTTTCTCTCAGACCAAGAGTCAGCTACTGCACATGCTGTTGGTCGTGAAGTTTACAGCGGTGGCAAGCCTTGTGCAACTTGCGAACCGTTACGGAGCACCACCTGAATGCAGCTACTGGCAGCGCTGGCGGAGCTTGTGGGACGCGCTTATAGCATCAAGATCCATCGCGCCGATGCCCCTGGAGGATCTTTGCTATGCCGCCTTACGGGGCTCGGATGCCCTAGGTGCCAATCTGCGATTAGGCTAGGGCGCTTGTGGCACATGGCGGCTGCTTGGCGCAACATCAGGACCCTAATTATAGGCCCCTGCCAACGCAGCTAGTATGCACTGAGCATGGATGTACTCGTTATAATATTGGCCTAGGGACCGGACCGACCCAGAGCCTCTCATCAACACTGGACCTAAACATCGTCAACAACATTGAACATAACTCATATGGGCCCTGGCTAGACTGACTTACATACCAACCAACAACGCAAGAAGCATTGCCACATCGGTTTCCGCGGGCTCTCGGACTCGCGGGCCCCTTTTGATCGGACCGAACTCACGGCAAATGTTACTCTTTGCAACAAGCTGTTGGCCGTAACTTCAATAGAGCCATTTGCGGGACGACCTGGATTAGAAATCGATTCTTCGATAATGGCTACCACCTTTCATCACTTCCCGCGTCTCCCCTCTGAGCTCCGCACTCGGATTTGGAACCTAGCAGCTCGTCCGCGTCTCGTCCACATCAGCATAACACCGACGGTTATGAAGCCATGGAAGCGTACTGGGGACTATGACTTTGCTTCGCCAACGTCGCCCCCTGCTCTCATGCATGTGTGTCAGGAGTCCCGTCAATGTGCTCCATATCAGAAAGCATTCTTCACAACCTTGCCTGATGAATCCGAAGCCCGGTATATCTGGGTCAACTTTGAACAAGACATGATCTGCGTGGAGGATGATAACTTGGACCGACTTTCGCCACACGACGCTGAGATTCGGCGGCTTAGGTTCACGATACCGACTGGGGACCGCGGGGATTTAGTGTTTGAGGTCTTTGGCCGCTCCAGCAATGTCATTCTGGAGAGCTTTACGTCGCTGCGGGAGCTGCAGCTGGCTATAGCAGAATCTTTTTTGGCTTGGGGGTCAACGTGGACTGGCCCTGGATACGGAGAGTGTCCCCGGGAAAATGTCAGGTTCCTTGACCTCAATACGGGGCTCTTGTTGACTGGTCCTCAGCTGGAGATGGCATATGATTGGTCTTGGCAGCAAGGGGGAAGAGTATTGGATATGGACAGCTTTGACGATGACCACCATTTTATGCTTCGCAACTACACTGGTTTAGATTTATCTGAGCTTGCAGATATAGATTGAGCGACGCTTGTCATTATTAAACAAGTGAGAGCAGTCATCTTTGTCGTCCTACATTTGCTTCACCGATATAAATAGCTGTCTTCTATTAGCGCCAAGAGATCCCAATTGATTACAATAAACAAACAGGCATGAAAAGCCTTAGACTATGTCTCTTAACTATCTGCATTCTGGGTTCCTTCTTTGTCCTTTTCCGTAGGCCACTCTCAGATACACCCGTTGGCCTTGTTCTCAGCTATTTCAAAAGACTGCATAACCACTCGGTGGTCGCGAGCTGTTTTTTCTTTTGAATAGAAGTCCTCCCTCACATGATCTGTAACCACTGAAATTTCCAGCTCGCTGTACTCCCCGCCAGCAATTGCCCCCGACATGGTCTGTTCCCAGTCAACCGTCTGCCATGCCTTTAAAGGATCAGCCGGGTTGTGGCCCAAAGAACCGACGCTCTCCTTCACTACATCAATCCCTAGCGGATTCAGCCTCTTTTCCGCTGCATCAATGAGATATGGGCCGTGATCGCCCACTCTGGCTGTTTTGATCTGGGTGGTAGTTTGAGCGAAGCGCTGAAACAATTTTTTGTTGTCTCCCGTGTTTTTGCCAGCTTTTGCGGCTTTCTCTACCACCTTTCCAACCTTGTCGATGCTAGCATTGTAATTCTCATTACCTTGATAGATCATCCTGTATCCTGGCCAATCGGGGACCTTGGGCTTAGGCTGAGACAAGAAGTGAGCGTACACCTTCTTCGCAGTCTCTTCGGGGTCGGGATCTGTGCTGTTGATATCCTCAAGGGTGCCATGTTCGTCTGAAGCAAACATATCTTTTTTCCCGCAACCACCAAGGAAGTTGAGAAGGTCACTGAAGTTGCATCTTTAATTGGGCATAGAACCTTCGCATTCTATTCACCATTCTTGCCCAGTCTTCTTGTTGAGTCTGCATTTAGTTGTTGAAGGGTCCCAAGATTTGCATTTTCTCCCAAGTGTTCGCTGAGCTGGTTCGTTCAGTTCATCGATTTGGTAGGCATAGAACAGCCACACACGGTCCAGTGCACCGGCGAAACCACCGGCCAAGACCTTTGTAGCGAGGAGGAGTAAGCCGATCAAAAGACTGGCTTGCATGATGAATAACTTTTGATAAGAGGTCGACCACTTTGTGATGTGTGAAAGTTGCAAATGAGTGAGTTTGGAGAGAAGATGAGCGGAGGAAGAATTCGGTGTAGTTTCAATGAGCAGACTTAGAAGATAACACCATAACACATGTACCTACTTCTCTTCGTACCGAGCTGAATCATCAACGGATATCACCGGATGTGATCCGACCTTCACTATCCACCTCTTGTTAATTTCACGCTCGTGCATACCCGCTATTATTGAATCCGCTTCTTGGACAGGGAACGGAAACAAGGGCCAGGGTCCAGATGCAGGGGTCCGCTGGTGGGGGGGAGTATTTGCACATGCAAACAATCATGCTTAAAGAGAAGCTTTAATGTAATACTAACTGACCTTGTGTAATTAGTAGAATCCTGCTGTATTAGCATTGTGACGAACTGTACACTAGATAGTTAGTATAGGGTAGATTCCCAAGGGATAAACCTAGTAAATAATTCTAGGTTTATGTTAGCGGAGCAGTTAGGAAACCTAATAGGTAATGCAAGTAATAGTAAATAAATATTACTAAAGTATAAGTAATATAAAGTATATTATAATCTTAATTTTATATTAATAACTAGCTATTTAAGTTATTTAAATAAGTATAAAGAAATAAACTTATATATTTAATTAGCTAAATGTCCTTAGTATACTTAATAATAGATTTTATTAAGTAGTATTTAATTAGTAAAATAAATATATATTCTTTTATTCTAGCTTACCTAGTAAGTTCCTAATTATAACTATAAGTATTAAGTTATAATATAATATTGTGATAAACTGTACACTAGATAGTTAGTATAGGGTAGATTCCCAAGGGATAAACCTAGTAGATAATTTTGGGTTTATGTTAGTAGAGTAGTTAGGAAATTTAATAAGTAATGTAGGTAATAGTAAATAATGTCACTAGATGGTAGAAGTGTAGAGCGTGTTGTAATCTTAATTTTATGTTAATAACTAGCTATTTAAGTTATTTAAATAAGCATAAAGAAGTAAACTTATATATTTAGTCTGTTTATATGTAATTATAGTTGTGGTAGTAATTACTATAGTAATTACTAGGATAGTGTTAGTAAGCGCAAGAGTTAGGTTAGGGTTAGGGTTAGGGTTAGGGTTAGGGTTAGGGTTAGGGTTAGGGTTAGGGTTAGGGTTAGGGTTAGGGTTAGG